TCTAAACGTTGAGACTGAAGATGAACAAGCGTCGAACACTGTTCATATCACACATGTGCTGGTGCAAATAGTCATGCAGCTAGTTTTCTATGTTTTCCATGTTTTTGTCATGGAAATTAGCAAATGATCTTTTTTATTCACAAAAAGAACAAAAAGGAGATGAAGAAATAAAGTATTTTAAGGTTTTATTAAGCTATCTGGCAGAGTGAACTAAATTGTTTTTGCCGACATTGAAAGAGAATTTGGGGAAAATGTTTAGATTGGCAGGATTCTGATGCGCTGCTGAAAATAGACTTGCCATTTCTAACTAGTTAACCAAGCAACAGAGATGATGAGTCATCTGTATGCAATGAAGTACAGTGAAAAGGAAACAAGGAACATACTTTATATGTGCATATTAAATTTGTCAGGAATCATGCACAACAAGTTTACTTTTTTGTCCTTTGATTCAAAAACATTTTACATAGTGTACCAATATACAAACAATATACTGTACAGTAATATAAATGAGTACTCAAAACAATTGTTAACAATACAATTTTAAGTATCTCAGTTCATATCTGTGAGTTGTGCAAATCTATGTCACTTTTATACTGCTTGTTTTGAGACATTTACATGGCTGCTTATTATTATAATGACTGATCTAGTGCTATATATTCAAATGAATTGTGGACCACCAGGATTCTTTAGCAAAATGTGACATGAATATAACATCTCTAAAACATGCAGTGTTCAACATTATGATCCTAACTATATGCAAATGACTTTTAGATTTATGCTACAAAATCTAGTTAAGACCAGTGAAAAATTTATCAGACTGTTGCACCCCTTAAGTTCTTCAAATTTATTCATTAAATCTTGATATTGCTTCCTGTAAGAAATGAATTAATAGAAAATCTATGATAGCACCTCCCTTCTTTAATATGGGTAGGAAAAAGAGTTATGTTTAGTTATAGATGTGTGGAGCCACAAGTACGAAACCAAACAACATATTTTATGGATGTGTTAATTGTCACCAACACATTTAGGTACATCCTCTCTGATCTTTATCGAGTTTTACAGAATGTTTATTATTCAAAATAATGCTTGATTAAGCATTTTTTCTTTTTATTTCTTGAGACAGAGGAAAGGATATATGTAAAGTATAAAGATTGTTTTAAGTAGATTGTACAAATGCAGCATTTCCTGAAAACAAATGGAAAATTCTACTCATACAAGTCTTGAGTATTATGGTAAAGTATGTGGGCTTAGACACTTTTTGGTCATGGTGGAATTTAAAAATAGGTTTCAAACACAGAAATATTTTGAATAATTAATATGAAGAGGTGCTGTATTACTGTGTAATCCACTGCATGCTGTAGTTCTGTATTACCATTGTAAAAAAATGCCTTTGACAGAAAGCATCCTTAATTTAAGCAGGCCATGATTCAACATTATCAACAGAGATATACAGACTTATATCAGTCTTTTGGCACCATATAGTACTTTATCAAATAAATAGAGCTTTCTGTCTCTTCCACTAAAGGAGGCTCTGTAACTGCACCCAGAAGGCTACATCAAAGAAACCCTGCTACTACCATGACAGTAGAATGCTTTGCAGTTCTGAACACATTGAGCCCACTACAATAAGGTTACATGCTATATTTCCAGGGCCACTAATAGAGGTGGATCAAACTTAAACTTCTTCCTGGGCATCACATGTGTTCAATATAGAGAGCATGGGTTTATCACAATCTGTCCTTCAGATGAGACGTAAAACCAAAGTCCTGACTCTCTGTGGTCATTACAAATCCCAGGGTGCTTCTTGAAAAGAGTAGGGGTATTACCCTGGCATCTTGGCCAAATTTGGCCTTTACCAATCATGACCTTCTAATAATCCCCAACTATGAATTGGCTTCAATACTCTGTTCTCCTCCCCACCGAGAGCTGATGTGTGGTGAGCGTTCTGGCACAATATGGCTGCCGTCGCATCATCCAGGTGGGGCTGCACATTGGTGGTGGTGGAGGGGAGACCCCATTACCTGTAAAGTTTTTGAGTGAAGTGTCCAGGAAAGCGCTATAAAGGTGTAAGGGATTATTTTTATTATCATCGCCATTTATTGCACAGTATTTTGGCATGGTTCTGTTATTTGTATGTTTTTTGCAAGGTACTGCACTGTACAGTCCTTGAAGTGCATGTCTTGCAGTTGGAGCAGGGCAATATTTCTTTAAAGAAATAATTCACAAGTCTGGAAAAGTGTCAGTTCAGCACAGACATTATTTTTCCTGACTTTCAACTGGGAACATGAAGCATGTTCATGCCACACCACTCCCCTTACTCCACACCTTATCAGACCTCTATACAGACAATTCACACTCACTCTTAATTAATAAACATATCAGATGAATGGCAAGGAAGGGATGTTTAAGACTATCTCTGCAATAGACCACAGAAGACATTTGGGATACAATCCTCCTAAACCTCCACCTGCACCAGGACATCAGGAGGTCAACATGATTTCTACCCAGGACGTCCTGCTGGCCCTGAGTACACAAGCACCTCAAAGGACAGGAAATGAAGACCAGTGACGCGATGTCATCTAATGCTCAATAAATACCTTTTGTAAAGAATGGGTTTTCCTCACTGAAATACTGAAAAAAAAGTGCTGTTATAAGAATTTCTGGAGCTGGAGGAAATATTTTTATATCTATGTATGCCTTGGCTCCTTAATACAGTGGTGAAAGACAGCAACTTCATGCAACCTTAAAAGGACTTTTAGGCTAAATATGCCTCTAAGCAATACAAACGTCACTGGAAAGTTTATAAAAGGCAGAACTACAAATTGTCTGCAGGCTCACTGCTGGTCGTCTCATACTTCCATTAGGAAGGCAGGTTATGGCAGGGGCAATAACAAAATAGTGAATTGAAAAGAAGTGTAAAGAAGCACTCAGATGTAAGAAATACTTAAATCACAGTTATGAATAACATAGCCTTTGAAATTTAGACTTCGGTAAACTTCACAATACAAATTCTTACTTTTTAGATCAGAATCACAACCTTTTTTTACATTCCATATCATTTTAGCTAGAGGTGTCAAATGCAGGTTGTTTGCAACTGTTCTCTCACAGAAAACCACAAGACACTGCTTCCTGCCAGTTCACAGCCACTACCAAAGATTTTCTGGGCTAAAGTTTAGATCATGTTTCACAATTAAGTATTGTGAAACACTGTATATACAGTACTGTAGATTATGTCTTTAACAATCAAATACAGAAATGTAGTTAGCTAACTTTTAATTAGGTTTTAAAACTATTACATAATATAAGACACTCAGTTTTAGTTGCTAAACTGAATTGACAACTAGACTAAAATCTCAATCAAAAGATTCAGCCTGTACTATAAGTATTAGCTGTACTGTTTTTTCTGTTAATGCACTCTATTTCACAATGAAGTTTTGATTAATTGAATCTGTAAATCCAAGAAGAAGGATGGGTATTGATTGCAAAGGGTAGATACTGTAAACAGGTGGCCTGAAAACACCAATGTATTTACTCACAAAAGTAATAATTAATTCCTCTGCTATTATATGGGTTTTTGTAGGAAGAACTCTGTGTAGATTGCAAATGGCAAAGGTAACACAAACGTAATGGAATGATTTAAATAATGCTTACAAGCAGAAATTCACATCATAAGTTATTACAAAATAATCAAAAACTGGAACATCTATCATATGTCCTATCTCCTGTCGTTTCAGGGTGAAACACTCCAGAGGTTTCAAACTCACCTAAAACAGAGAAACAATTCCTATACACACTTTCCAGACAAACATTTGTATTCTTTTCTAAAAAGCCATGAAGAATGAACATTTCTAAACAGTCTTCCTTCAACTGAAATTATTTAAAGGGAAAACCCATTAAGATGCTGAAGGCTGTTAAAACAATCCTTGTTACTGTACATAATGAATATGTATTGAGGAGGTGAGCAAGTCCAAAGGTGTTTTTTACTATCTGCAAAATACTGAAAGCTTTCATGAAAGGTGAGTTTTAAAACCAAGTGATCATTGTAACCTTTTAAAGACAGAACATTTACTTAAAACAGGTGGATACTTTTACCATAGTGCTAAAATTTAAATAAAATTAGAGAAAACTAGAAAAGTGATACTTCTGAGAAACTTAACTCCTATCCTCAGAACTTAGCAAATACAGAAAGCTTTTGAGTTCCTGTGGTAGCAACAGGCATTCTTATTTGAGTATATCTTGCACCTAGATAAGTTGTTACAGTTTCATGAATGTGGCTCTCACTTGAAAACCAGCTCATCTGATACATAAAATACAAAAGCACAGAAATTATTTGTTTCTAAAGAAGCCACAGCTTTCTAAGATGGTTTATGGAGCACATTCACCGTTTGCTCTGTTATTAGAGCAGTAAATAGTTTCTAAAAGTATTAAAAAATGAAAAAGTAAATTCCCTCAGATAATTTTATACTGTAGGAATTAATTATATAATATCTATTATGCAGTAGATAATATATTATAAACATATTGATTAATAATTATAATGGGTATAATAAGGAATATTACAAATAAAAAAAACAGTAAAACTAGCACAGCAATATACTGGATCAGAGCAATAATTTTCACCCATGTGATGTGTACACTCTGGCTACATCTTTATGCATGGTTGACGTACTGTGTCCAGTCATAATGATAAAGCAACGTGCCTGATCTTGATATGCTAATAAAAAATGACACTTGGCACTGTAATAAAAAAAGACTTTTAAACTTTTTATAACATACAGCCTTATCTGGTATTGGAAAATAACCCCTGTATGATATGTAACAAAATCTCTCACACTGGCAGAAAATATGGCTTGAGACTGTATAATCACTTTAGTGTGCTGCTTTTGATGCTTGCAAACCAACAGATTGCAATACAGTGTGAAACACAAGCTTCCTCATTGGCCCACTTTGCTTCGAAGCACACCAAATGTAAAATAAAATAACAACAGAAACCATCTTACCTTTTGTGTGATACCAAAACGTCCCGGGCTTCCCATGAGACCATCGCTTTAAAATGAAATCTTCCGTGACCAGCTCAGCACGTCTGTTATCATTGCGCACAACATTTTTTTTGGTGATGCTGTGTTTCTAATCCATCAACACGAAATTTCCTATTAAGTCGACGTGTTTATGGCACTATTAGCAAGCCCTCCAACGGGGATGGTACAGCAGTCCATTCACATGTCAGCAGTAATTTAGTTTGATGGCTCACTGATTTGTGAAACTGCCCCGAGTTTCTGTGCTGTTTATATTACCGTCCTACATCAAATACACTCCAGAAGGCATCATTTTAAATGGAGGACTCTGAAAAAATTCCAGTTTTGACCTGCAACTATAATGGTTTTTGTGTTCTTCCTTCTTGTTTTGTTCCCAGGGTTAGACGTTTGTTAGAAGTACACACCTAGATACTTTCAGCACTTTAGCGTAATTAGCCTGATGACTATTAATAGCAGAGATCTATTTCACGGTCTTGCACAAGCCAGTAGCAGGCATTGAAGACATGCAAGCCATAGTTGATTTAAATAAGATTCAAAGCTCCTTGGTGTCTACATGTGGTCCTTCATCAGTAAGTGCACTTTTTAAAATAAGAGCAGATGTTTAAAATATGCATTTTATTTTCTAGCAATAAGCACTCTGTACCATTTTACCCAGAACTCCAACACCATACTGTATGTTGGTGAATATGACAAAATGTAATGGAAGTTTCTACTAAAAACCTTTGTGCTGCTCAGATCTCTGTTAAAACATACTTTTATGAACACAACATTAGTTGCAAGTGCAGACAAAACTTGAAGATTAGTGTGGATTATTTTGTGGAATTCTAATCAGAGTAAATTGTTTTGGCAATTTTGTTAAAATAAATTAAAGCTAAAACCTCTCTGTCTATATCAGGTGTGTCAAAGTCACTTCCTGCTTGTCGTTTTTGCTTCCATCTGAATAATGTTTGAAAATAATTTCTAAATTTAAAATTTAATTTGATTTTCTAATAAATGTTTCTTGAGACTACAGTTCGTTGTTTTGACAGACACTTGTGTTGTAGTAAAGACACACATTAATACAGATTGAAACATATTAAAAACCCCAGTTTGCACAGTGGCTACAGAACTGCTGCTACGGTAACCTGAAAACTATGAAAACTATGAAGTCTGGCTCTTCAGCATTGTGATGTCAGCTTTTCTGTTTCCTGCTTAAGGTATCAAAATTCATTCCATCAGACTGAGGTGCTCTGCACAGAGCACTACTCTTATGCATATTGCATTTTCTCCTTGTTCTACTTCTATGTAAGTTTCAGGAATAGATGGTTCTTTAAAAGCTTATTTAAAAATAGAAGTTAACCAAGGCTGCTTTACCAAGCAATGACCGACCCACATATTTGGAGGGATTCCTTAAAAAAGCAATATTGTATGTGTACAGTGTGTAAAAAGAGGAGATGGTTTCACTTAGCTTTGTAGTAAGGCCCTGCAAATTTTTGCTGAACTACAAAGTAACATAATTGTCTACTCAAGACCTGAAATCTTTGATCAAACAACTGCTGTGAAATAGATCTAAAGAACAATTAGACAAACAGTAAATTAAATTCTGGTTTCTTATAAACCACCCCATAACTTAACGTACCTCAAATCCATTATTGAATGATCATTAAGTGCACACAATTATAAGGGGACACCATGCAATTATGTGACTGAGTGCTGACTACGTTAATATTCTTGAAATCAGATTAATCGATGTGACTTCCTTAGCAGACTGAGTTTTTGGACTGATCACTGTGCCAGTTGTGTTTTGAGCTCAGCTGGAAGTTTTCCCGAGTTTCATGAAAAGATTAAAAAATACCCTGAATAGGACTTGTAAATACAGCAGTCAGTTGTAAAATCGTCAAATTTCAGAAAACACAAGAAGAAGAATTTGGTTGAAAACATTTTTTTTAAAAGCAGCATTCATTTTAAAAGCCTTGCTTTTTATTGAATAAAGACAGCAAGATTAAAAAAAAAAACATCGTCATGTTCCTCCAAGCTAGCGGACAGTGCTCTTTGAAAATTAATGTGTATGTATAATTATGCTATCCGTAAGTATCTTCAATAATATATCTCCACTTTATTTAGGGCACTCATGCTGCTTCCACATAGCACTTAAAAGTGCCAGTAGGTTGCATTAGAAACATTTTTACATAGTGCTGAATTCATTCACATAACCCTGAAGTTTGACAATCTGAGCCAAATAGTAATAGACAAAACATCAAAATAAACCTTTTCCCCTTCTTTACTGACATTTCCAGCACGATTATTACTAAAACATAGTTTTCACACATTTCTTATTTTATTCAAAAAGAAGTACCGGATATTGATTCCTGCCATTGGGCTGTTATTAGCAAGACTGAGGTGGTGGAAGATTCGCTAGAGATTCAGAACATGTGATTAATTATATCACAGGATGCATGAAATAAAATTTGCATGAAAATATGGGTTTGGCGATTTCTCTGAAAGCTCCTCTTGCTTTCAGAGCTGAAAACACTTGACCAGGGCTTTGTACTACATGACTGCATCTTTTCTGAGGCATTCCAGTACCTTTCCATTACTACAGCTGAGACAAAGCATGCAGAGGATAACTTTAGATATGTTGTTATATATGTTGTCATTTTGTTTTTAACAATAAACTAAAAAACAAAAACAATGAAGAAACATTTTTGGTCAATTTGAATATTTTATTAATATGTAGAAAATATATTAAAAAAGGGCCTATACAGTACATGTCTTAATTCAAGCTAAAAACTCAGCTAATCCAATGGTTAAAGTTAATATCCAACATTATTCAGCAAAATAACAACTTTTTTTGTAAAAGATTTTCCGTGACCTAAACCTTCTTTCACAGTATTATGTAGAAAGCACCTTCACGACATGCAAAATTATTATAGCCTTAAGTGAGCCACAGAGTAAAACTGACATTTTCCCAGAGGGTCTCATTTTAGTTCACTAAAATTATTTAAAACTTTTTCATTCCCCTTCTCTGCAGTTTAACATCAGTTTATTTCTCCACATTTATGTACAGTAAAGAGGAAGAATCAAATACAAGAACTGAAAGACTCTAAAGCATTGAACACAACAGATATGACCTCATATACTGTTCTGCCAAGTATTTCAGTTCAGCCCCTGTTTCAGTTATGATCACCCTATGCTTGTCAGGATTGCTCTCCAAATCTTTATGAAGTGACAAAGTGTGGCGTTTTATTAATACTTTTGATGACGACCTTATGTACCTAGCATTATGCATCCAAAGAGGCTACATAGCCATATCATTTTTATAATTAGTTTTCTCAAAGGCAAGTATGTGTTCATTGATGATCATAACCCTAACCTAATACCACTACAATTCCAACTCTAACACATACTATCTGCTTTGAGAAACACCGTGTATTGTTACTATTCATATATACTATTCATATACTGTATATATAGTCTTTTGGAGCTCTAGTCATAAATGATTATTATAGCATGACATTTCTTCCAAAAATTGTAATGGCTTCAAATGGAGTCATACTTATTTTACATGCTTACAAAAAGGCCTTTATGGTGTGGTACTGAGATAAAATAATCTCAACCTTGCAACAGACCCATACTCAACTGTTTAGCATCTTAAAATTTAAATTTAAATGACTGGGTATATTGAAGGTTAATATTTTGTTTTAATACTTTAGTTATACGATTTCTTTTAAGACCTTCATATGAAGAACACAATTTGTACATCAGATTCCTAGAAAAACTTGTTTTGTGCACATAGGTCCTCATATTGTCTATTCAAGGAGTTTGTTTTTCCTTTTGTATGAAAATACAGATTACATAATGGTGCAGAGAATTTTAAACTCCTGTACTGTTATTTGCCAAATGAGCACAAGCACGGGATTGCTTTGACTGGAGTTTTTGCTATGTCTGATTTTCTCAGGGTTTCTGAAGACTGTAGCTTTATTTCAGTAATATTTAAAATGAGGTTGTGCCAAATAAGTAGACAGTCAATTGCACAAAACAGCCTCAGCCATCAGTTTTTTCCTAGTTTATAAGCTTGCTAGGGTACAACATTGCAGACATAATACTGGAGCATACGTTATCTGAATAACTACATGTTTCTGGTTTCTCTATGTGAATAAAAGTGCAAGTCACATGCCACATTTATTTTTTTTAGAAAATAGCTACTCAAAATAGCTACATATTATGTGGTATTTTATAATACCATGTAGCAGAAGGGCATGTACATTTTAGATACTCAGAGTACACAATATTAAAAAGACATGCTACATTTTGACACAGTAAAATGAATTGCAGCTTTATGAATCTCCAATGCTACAGACATTCCATGGAGAAAGACATTACCTTCTACAATATTACAGAATCTGGTCCTGATCCAGACACATGCTCCACAGTATAACAAAGGCATAACAGAATAGGCACACAGCCCATATCTCATTAATGGGATTTTGTCAGTGAGTTTGAGTGTAGCGAACAGGTCTGATAAAAGACCCCAGAGTTAATCAACTTGAAGATGTGAAAAAAATGACTGGTCTATCTAAACAATCTGTCTTGACTCATGAATAGGATAGATTATAGTAGCCAGCTTTAATAAAATCTAGAGACCCTGAAATAATCACTGTGTAATTTTCCCAGTTAATGAATGCTGGAAAATAAGATTTTATCTCTAAATTATTAATCAAAAGACCAAGATACAGACCCATAAGGAAGCCTTTAAAGCAATTTTTCTCTATGGCTCTGCTTTCACAATTAGCAACATCTCATTTACTGGTCTACATCTTGCATCAAAGATGTGCAAAGCATTGTGGACTTGTTAAAAGCAGGAATCTGTTGAAAACAGGTAAATCCAGGTAATGTAATTGTTTCAGGAAATTATTTAAATGGAAGAGTAAGTCTTAGAAACATCCTTGATTCCTAAAGGCTATAAACTGATTTTTCCTTTTGTTTAAAAAAAATGTAATTTCCAAGCAAAATTCCAACACAGCAACTAAACCTATAAACGCTTTACTTGCCATGTGAATAATGTAACTTATTTTAATCACAAATACATGAAAAGCATTCTGTATGTCCCATGACAACATAGTTAGAACAAATATTAATTATGTTACCTGAACTACAAGTAAAATCTGGGCAACTGGTGGTCAAATGTGGTCTGTTCATCTACCATAATGGAGGGTTGTGTGTGCATTTCCACACTTGAGAGTAGTTCAGATTCTGAAGATGAAGATTTAGGGTTTATTCCTAAGGAAAAAACTTTTTAAAACACTTAAGTAATTTTAAAATTGTTAGTGGGGAGCTCAGTTTCAGTGGAAATGTTATTAATGTCAAAATAATGCCAATCAAATAAAGCCTTTTAGCTCTGTGGGTGATGAGTTGGTTTGGTTGATTACAATATACTGTACATTTATAATGTTATTACATTTTATGTTATATATATATACTGTATGGATGTTCTAACTCTGTATTCAAAGGGACTCATTAATCCTGCCAAGACCAAAATACTTTGCACAAAATCTTGAGCACATTTTAATGAATACAGCATATATGTTATGTAATATACATAATGAAAGTATTATAAAAATCCCAATGCTACAATAAAATACTCATAAGTAGAAAGCTCAGTTGTCCCTCTTATATTTTAGCTTCAGGAAACAATAATAAATTGTTCAGGGCTAATATAAAGACACTCCATGCATTCTCTTGTTAGAATTTGTTGTGCATAAGCAGGTGTCCATGCCAAACATACTGAATTAAAAAGAAAAAAACTGAAGTGCTATGCTGGATCAGGTGAAATTTGTTGCAGGCCACTCTTTGGGGCAAACGGAGGCATATGACAGCTCTGTAAGCTATCACAGAATGGAAAATAATTTCACCAGTGGTGGACACCAGGCAGTGCAGGTAGTACTTGCTGGCAGCAAAAGTAGTTTTCTCTGAGAATGTGCCTGGCATGACACTGTGTCTATGCACATTAATTTCTCCTGACATTTGTTGTTCAATTTTATAGCTGTAAGCAACAGAGTTTCTTAAATAACATTAAAGGTACACTCTAAGTCTCCAGCAAATCTAATACATTTTAGTGCATTGTCTGCCTTGCACAAAATATATAACAATTTTGCCTTGAAACGTTTTCTTTAGATTTGGCAAGTATACAGACATACTGTACAGACAGGTCACCAGTACTCACTAAATATTGTTATATTCAGAGAAACAATAAATCCAGAAAGGGAAACCAGCTGCACTTTACTTTGTCCATTTTTCAAAAATAATGAATGAAGCTATTTTTTGTTCTTGTTTCTGATAGATATTTACTTCCCCCTGTATGTGCACATAGGACAGCCACTGCATTGCCATAGCTTAAATAGGCGATTAATTGATCAGATCAGATTTGATAAGATTTCACTTGTTACCTCATGACTTGTTACCCCATATTTAGCGGGTTGTAAAACTGAACTTGTGGCTGGTATGAATTCAATTAAAACAAACTTTGATTGTTCTGGATTAAGAAATTAATGGTTTGATCCAAGATCAGTGAAAATATGTGGCAAAATCTTCATGCCTTTTTAGTACTTACTAGCGAACCAGTAACAGGCCTCCTTTAGAAGTACACAGGGAGTTATGATCTTATATTCAAGGAAAAAGAAATAAATACAAAGTGACAATAAATCTGTTCATATAATACTCGAACGTCTCCTGCCTAAAAAAGGCTCTTTCTTTTTCAATGATTACATTTTATTACATAAACTCATTTGACCTAGTATAAGTTTCCATGTTTTGATTTTTCATAGACTTTCAAACTTACAGTAATGCCATCTCCGTTTGGTCAGTAGTCTTATGATAATAGTGAAAGTCTGTCAGTTTTAGCCCTTTCTCTGCTCAACCTGAAAGCTACTTTCACTCATTTTGTTTAATGACGTGCCAGTGGGATTGCTCTTTTGCTGAACTAATATCAACTTCTGGGAGTTAGTTTAAGCTTAGAAAAGTATGTAAAACCCCACCCCCATCCCTTACCTATTCCCTCCGTATTAGTATCTCCTTGTAAGAAAGGCAATACAGGTCCTACCTTTAGAATGTATCTTTAAGTAGATACTAATAAATTATATCATTTCATCATCTTCATTGTTATTATGACATGGGAAATGTGATAAATACACTATATTCTGTACATGCGACCGAAGTATTGATGTCTTGTATTGAGAAGTAAATCATGCAATTTTTAAGCATTTGTTGTCTTTTTTACTTTTAATTTTTTGTTTGGATAAAAAAAAAAATCTGAGGTACTTCCCAGTTTGAAGTACTTCCCTATGCAGTGGTTTGAAGATAACTGTTTTAAATAAAGCACAGAAAGTTTCTGTAAAATTAATTCACTTTTAAGACCCTTTCACTACTGTTTAATGTTAAATGCCTTGTTCAACTTTTTATGAGTCTTCCAAAAATGCCATTGTAGTTCACAGGTATCTAACTGGTGGAACTGAACAAAAAATAAGTCTATTTAGATGGAGCAGCTTAAACTATTTTGGTTTAATAATTAGTCACCCTTGAGCTCAATGACCTGTCCAAGAAGTTGTAGTTGTAAAGCATTAAAGCAACTCTTAAATCTCACAGTAGGTCTTATCACAGCTTGCTCTACTTGGCCCTGCAAAATCCTTTATCTTTCTTCATTGATGATACTCTGAAAAAGGAGTAAACAGCAAAGTTATCTTATGCTCTGTTGTTAGTCTCCACTTAATATTTTAAAAACATTCATGAACCACAGCTTTTGAAATACTGTACTGAATTTCAGAATATAATAAAACCATTAATATCTGAGAACATACCGTAAAGGATGGTTTCGAAAAATGTTTTTTTTTTTTAATTTCTGTTTCAGCTTTTATTTGGTAAGGGGCACTTTGCAATGAATTTCCACAAAGCATTTTCATAATACATTTTAGGAGGAGAGCATCGGAACAGACAGAACAACCATTGGGCACAGAGAAGAGAAAAAAATGGACTACAGCTGAAATTCCTGGGGTCCGAGGCCTAGTAGTTTTGCATCTAATTTCCCTCCAGGCAAATTAGAAATGTGACAGTCTTGATCCTGAATTTACGGAAGAAAAACAGGAAGCACATTTCATTGTGTTCATATTTTGCTTGTATTAACCTTTCCAGTAAATTAGTAGGCAGATGCATTTCCAAGCAAATCTAAACTTACTATTCTTAAAGCATTAGGGAGGCACTCAATGACAACAAAAAAAACAAGCTACAACAAAAAATCAGTGCACGCAATACCAGCAATGCTTCACTGCTAAAATAGAGGCATAAATGAAATTATTTTGAGAACAAAGCAATTTAAACTGTCTTAGTTATACAAGAAGAGTGCAAACTAATTTCCCAGACATGTAGCTTACTATCACAGACGTGAACAGACAGAAGCCTTTATAGTTCAGGTTTCACACTCAGGAAATGGAATGCGAGAATAGAATCTAACTGGGATGATGACACTGCTGGCTACAGTACTCATGGTATGAGGCAGCTCCTAAAGGTAAGTCTTCATTGCTCACTTTTCTGATGATTAATTTAGAAAATGTTCTTATGCACCCAACTGGGAAGAAAAAAAAACACCCCAGCACCACGCCCATGAAAGATAAAGCTAAAAATAGAGATCTGTATAGAAATCACAAAACACCAGGGTTATACTAACTAATTAACTAAGTTTTTTTTTCCTAAAAAAATAATTTCATTAATGCATTTCCCACATACCATCTCAATTATAATTCAATGCCAACTAAAATTGCTGATATTATTTTTAACCCCTGTTAAAACTGTACAAATGGATTTTCAGGCTAAGATGCAACTTTAGCATAAAACACCAAAAAATACAGTTAAATTGATCTAAATATATTTTAGGCTACTACTGGAATTAAGCAATTGTGTGATTTCTTAAGAACTGTTTTATCTGCAAATCTTTGGTTTCATACCAATGGTCATCATTGTAACAGCTGTAACAAGCTGAATTAATAGGTAACAGAAAAAAATGAACTTTTGTTTAATCAAGCCATAAAAACAACCTTTAGGAGCCCTGTTATATTTTGAAGTGACACATAAAATTAAATTAAAAGAAATAAATGGGGATGGGCTTGTTATATTCCAAAATATAAGTTCAGTTCTGGTGGCTGATAACTACTTCTTGTCCAAACAATGATTGCATCAGCTAAAGAACAGCACTTCTGAATTGCAGTCTGAATCTGATTTCTTCCTTAGAATTCTTATTGTTTAAATCAAATACAATCACCAGATCGCAATTAAAGGAAGATTGTGTTGTTCTGTGGTTTTAGCATTAAAAATTGAGTCATTCAGTGCATGCTTCTCTGGTAACTTAATTCTCAAAAACCGACACAAGTAAAGATCGTATAGTCTTTCTTTTAGTCTTCCTTTTGTATAACATTATTTCACTCAGTACTGTATCATTAAAAACAGAAAAAGTTAACAACTGAACAGGTCACCTGGGGAGTAAGGAAAACAAAAAAACTATTGTATTCCATTTTAATCATGATTGAAAATCCAGACTATCAAAACAGTGCCAGCAGAAGTAAGGGATGAAAACTCGAACCCCCCCCAAATAAATAAACACAAGATGAGCACTGAAATCTCGGCTTCAAGGAGATAGCTCAGTATGTGGTCAGCCAGAGCAAGCCTAGTAAAAGACATGCTTCTATTCAAGGAGTCGACCAGAACTGGCAGGATTCACATTTACTTTACTTTGGACAGCATTCAACTACAAAATGCCTCTAAGATGGGGTTTCCAGGATATAGTCTATGCAGATATCTACTGCTAATTAATTTGAGATAGCAGACCTTGGGCCTGTCTCTTTTGTTTCTATGGAAACGCTAGACAGCCTGAATATACAGTGTGTTACTGAGCATCCGTTATCATCCATTAACAAAATGAATGACGTTTAGGCGGGCGTCTTTGGTTTATGTTGTGGCAGCTATACTGACACTATCAGTGTGGCCAACTGCTGGGTAATTTCTTATTCTGAAACTATGAAACCATAGCTCAGAAGTAATGGTGATCAGGTTCCTTCCATAGATCAGTGAAAACTCCTTCACTACACCATCTGAGCTGCATATTTCTCTCAATGTCAGATTGCACTAAATGTGAAGGAACTACAGCACAGGTTGTTTGGTATGGAATACAAGGTTGTGTTTCAGGTTCCTGAATGCTGACATTATAATAGAACTCAAGAGGCTGTAATAAGACCACAATACAAGTTAAAAAGCATGGTTTTACACTGGTATAAGAACCAACCAATCTTCTGCTATGGCTGGCTGTCGACACTAATAGACATCTCCCATCTTTGGGCAATTTAGCAAAATTTTCAGAATCCTCCAATGTACAGTATGCTGTAGGATAGGACATTTAAACTTCACCGGTCTTTGGAATTCAACTGCCTTTGTCTTAACATTTTCTCTCTATTTAGCTTAAAGAGACTAAACTCCTGTTAATATTGAATGTCAGATTAAAACTATGTTATTTCCAATTGTTTTATATACCAATATTTTAAAAGAGACATTCTTTTTTCAATGTTATAACCTCTTAAACAAAATGTTCAATAAGTGCATGGCACTTGATGCAGATTAAATCTTTGAATTGTGTTACACTTATTGTTTGTTTCATTACAAAGTTTATGGGAATTTACGTACTTTACTGACCCTTTAATTTTTAATGATGTGTGCTTTAAGTAACACTCCACATCTGGAAAATCTCTATAATTTAAAAGATAAAATAATTTATATAAATAAATAATCCTGTCTTGTTTAATTGATAAGTTGCTGTGCTGGTGTCTTTTACTGACATTTGATGACATTTTAATCTATGCTATTATGTGCAAAATGAATTCCTTCTCCAAAATGTAATATTTCTTCAAAACTATGTTGCTGTGTTTAGTAATAAAATTGCAAATGCCAAGAATATTTCCTTGCCAAGAATTCACCATACATGTAAAATGATCTCAGATGGTAAAAGGTGGCTGAGATGAAATCATTGATTATACTTTCACTTATAAAAATAGAAACATCTGTTTTCTTTGCTTTAGGGGGGGAATCTTTTTTTTTTCAATTATGTGTCAGGAACAGAAGCAGAACAAAAACATTATCTTTCCACATCTGTGCAGCTGCTGAAAATGTACTGTATACTGTTTATTGCAAGCCATCCAGTGCCAACCCTAATATAACGAGAATATGAATGGAACAAAAATGGTGTTTAAACCTTGTTTCACTTCCCCTTTCTTCACAGGTTTGACCTTCTATAAGACCACATTGCTCGGTTCATTTTTTGTTTGCTTTCATAAATTATCTTTCTTTCTTTCTTTTCCCCTACATAAAAATAGGAACAACTAATGGGGTTGTGGGATTATAGCCGAGTCGACCTCCTCTTTTTCCCACTGATGCTGCGATAATTGTACGGCCGCATCTTCATCTCTACGAAGGGAATGGAGAAATCATGGCCTTTCCAAAGATACCAGTTAATGCCCTGGGGGAAAAGGAATGTGAGAGTTTAAAAGAAACACTCTGGACATTAAGAGTACCATGCAGATCTGTCTTAAGATAAGCCTTTATCTTAAAACTAAAACTCAGTTAGGGATTTCGTTTGGCAATAATGTAAATGCAAATGAGTAACAAAAAATGTGTGACTTCCTCACAGTGTTCAGCAATGCATTCCCATACTGTTCCTCAAAATATCACCTGGTGTCCTGCAACAGATTCAGATCGTGCTTTGCAACAGATTGATCACTGAATTTTGTTCCTGATAGCCCATAATGTCGTGCAACAGATTACCATATTGTTCTACAAAAGGTCTCTAAAATGTTGTGTTACTGATTGCCCATTGCACACTGCAATAGATGCCAAATCCTCTCAAATCACATTCTGTTTTTCAACACATATTTTGTGTTTTGTTAATTACATATAACTGGATTTATTTTTCCATTTCATTTTTATAATACAGAATTTCACTTTGGGCTTTCTTTTCACCCACTTGGCCTTTATAAATGCTCTTCCATCTAGTTTGAGAGCACCGTCAAAGTCATTTAGCTCAGACCATCTGGTTTGATTAAAATAAGGCTTCTGATTGAGCCCTGAGTTATCCTAAGCATAATCTCTCTCAGAAGAAGGGGTGTGGGTCAACAGATTGTTTGCTTGAACAATTAAATCAATATTACTGCATATGTGCTATATTATTATAAATAAACATAATAACTCTGCTGTTGTGTTTCTGCTCCCCTTCTCTGTTTTTTATTTGTTAATTTGTTATTGGTATTGATTTCCATTTTAACAAAAGCAAAGTAAATCTGAGCAAGGAATAAGTTAATTCTATATGCATATAGAAACAATATTTATATATATATTCACTGAATTCCAACCAATTTTTTTTAACGGTAAATTAGAAAATAAGCAGTAAAGCTATCAGTGAAGGGCATAGCCTTGGGCATAAACTGTTCTTTCTCTTCAGCGCACTGCAATGAAAAAACATGAAATGAAACTGGGACAGTTGGTCACCCTAGAGCAGTTCTGCAATGCAGGTCATCTGAAAAAAAGAACAGGCGGAGCGAAAAATGAATTTCTATTAACGCAATAACATCCAGAACACTGGCTGATATGAGAGGGGCAGATGCAGCTGTGTGCCAAGTCCTTTGGGATGGGCCGTGACCTAGCGTGCGTTTGAGAATTTCCTTCCAGAGCAATGCTCACCTGACTGTGGCTCGACTCTCCATATTTCCCATTCAGGTTTGCTCTGTGACAGTTCTTGTACCACCAAGCCCCCTTGTACGAAAGGGCACAGTTTGTGACAGCGATGTCATTATCTCTGTCCTTGGTTGAGAAGGGACGTCCCTGGTGGTAGGACAGAGAGTCCCCTGAGGGTTGAAAAAAGATGTTATTGGCAAATATCAACATACACACAGTATCAACATACTGCAAAACACATTTTAAAATGCAGGAAACAGCTTGCTTTTCTATTTCAACATTGAATTAGGGGTATGGAGCACCTCATATGCATGGTTACAATTAAATTAAATTGACAATAGCAACGACACCAGGTCCATGTAATTAGGCAACGTTTTGGGTAATAGCATTCTTGATTACATCTAGCCATGTATTATACATTGTTTCTGGAAATAAGATGTTATTTTTGGTTTCTTCTAACAAATAATGACACCACCTTGACAGAGTCAATATACTGTACTCTTTTGGGAACAACATTGTTTTCACACTCAACAACAAACTATCAAGCTAAAGCTTTCTGGTAACATGTTATTGTATAAATTGCATATAGGTTAAAAAGGAAAATGCACAATTAAAATCCAATTTTATATACATGTTTTTATATACATGTTCTTTTACCTTTCTAATTAGAGGACCATCAAGCTCACTCAAACCAGCCGGATTAGTTAAAATGGGGCTACATGAGATTAAAGACATTTATTAATTTTGTGTTGTATTGATTTGAAATACCCTTGCATTTGCTTGCATAGCAAAGTATAGGGGAGTTTCTGTTTTTTTGTTTCAAAGTTCTGTTGTAGATCATGGATTGCAGCCTTTTCACCTCCAGGTGAGCTTGGCTATAAAAACATCATCTGTAATTGCACAGTAACAAATCCACATCGTGTTCCTGATTTTAGGCCAGGTGAAAGAATTTTGGGTTGATGCAGACTTCATATTTTCTTCTGTGAATGGAAAAAAAAATCAACGCAAATGTATTTCAGCTTACCAGCAGTTCCATTGTATTCCCCTATTCTGAGTTTATACAAACTCCGAGCATCTCCAATTGCAAATTTATCATAGTTGGCGTATACTGATTCTTGACCATCTTTCATGTCAATCCGTAGCTCATAACGGCCCTGGGAGGCTATCCTGTGAATATTATCCAACCCTTCAAGAAAGAGAATCATAATTAGCTTCCCAAGGCCCTGCAAGCAGTTTCATTTTAATTTAAACAGTATGTTATAATGCAGTAACATGCTAGGACTTGAAAAGGAGAAGCAGTGTCTTAGTACATCACAATGAAAGACCCCTATAGATTTCATTGATCAGGACCTCGACAAATGAGCAGCTAGGAACCACAGGTGTGTGTTCACATTTATCCCAAAATGCTTATTTGAGGAAAAAGATGTCATTTGATGTTATTTGTTTTAGAACTCATAGAACTGATAAACTGCTGATTTTAATTTTGATAGACAGGAAAAAGCTATCTGACTAGAACCTGATTTGTAAAGAAAGCAACATTATTATCATTGTTTTATTCCATGTGTTCTTAGTCTTCTGATCATTTACACTTTTATATCAGGGCAAGGCATTGAAGAGATGATAGAATCAAGCACTTACTGTACAGTTTACACAGTTTAATTTGCTTAGTGTCATTATTTCAGTAACCACATCGTTCTGCACAGTTAGATTTCCTGTAACGTCAATGATCAGGGGAATTCTTTTATGACCTCACTGCATAAGACACTGTTTCTTATTACTGACCCGTTGGTAATCACAATATATTATTAATTAACAGAACGCAAAGATATTGCTTTGTTTAGATCTGCAGTGTCCCTTTCAATTAATTCATTTCACAGCCTCCCTGTGACAGATCCTTAACCATTTCATAAAACACAATAATGATTATTTTAAGAAATAAGGGGCATATTTTAACAAAATGAAATGATGGAACTTCAGTTGGGCTGGATAGGGGTGAGCAGTGGGAGCTTATCTGTTTATGTTGAGTGGTATTTTAACTTGGGGCTCTGTATTTCAAGACCAATCATTAATCATTTCATTGATCCTGTCAGATAATTAAAGTGCTGTGATAGGCAAACTCCTGGGGGAGGCATTACATGTAAAAAAACACAAGTTCAAACAAGAATAAAAATACATATATAACAAAGAAGTAGCTTTTGTACCCTCTTGGGAGAGTACTTCAACATGACAGCACAAGGGAAAATCATCACTTAAACACTGCTCTAACAGACAAGAGAAAACTGAATTGCTTTAATAAGGTTTATAAACATTGAGCAATTTACAGAATATAAAATAAAATAGTCTGTTTTAAATGTGACATAAGGGTTTGGCTTAAATTAAACTTGAAATAACCTGGATTGAAATGGCACCATTGTCTCACTCTTACTCATCGCATTATTATTTTATGAGTGCATTTTCTTGAGAAATTAAGCAGAAAATGAAAAAAGCTGTCTCGTCTCCCAAATCAACTAATGCAACAGTGGAACTTGACTTGTGAATAGCACATGTAATTAAATGATTATCATGCTTGTTTAGAATATCATTTTATTAGAAAACGTACCCAAGATAAAGATGCCCTGGTATACTTTTAAATTGTACATTAGTAGTGTTATACTATCTAACAGAGTGTAACATAAAACAATGATATACTTAAAAATTAATAACATTTCATCATGAAGGGAATTAAGTTAAATCTGTAATTACAGTATAATACATTAGTATTAACAAATATAATTTGCAGAAAAATATTTAAACTTCTATATAACAAACAAACATTTTATTCTTTACAGTGTGCTGAACTGTAAATTAAAGGATGGGTGCAATTGATACCCTTGTATGTCCATAGATATCGTATAAATACTGTATCTTGAGGTTTGCTGTACTGAGGGTAATGAAGGACCATTATTGTTCAGGGGGTTGAAGACACCATTGATGTTAAAGGCTCCAAAGATTTACACTAACTGTGGACACTTATCTTCTGAATTGATGCCAGGTACTTAAGATGTATTGCTAATAGGTGTCTCTATCATGCTCTATCATTTAAGTGTGTACCAGAGTACCAGAGGATTTTTTAATGGCTGAATTTTTCCCATAACTACCTAATTGGAGGAGAAAAAAAATCAAGCTTCACCCTAGACAATCTTTCATAAAATGTTTCCCATTTAAAAAGAAGAATGCATGTTTTTGATAACTCTTTGGATTAGAGGTTGCAAATGCCATTCATAAATATTTTATAAATGAAATATATTTAAAGCCTCAATAGATTGACATAAATATAGTCTGGTACTACCATCACACTGTAGATAATCTGGATATCAGTAACAAAACCCTAATCCTGACCGCAGCTCGGACTACATACCTAAAGCCAACCCATGGCATAAAAGCATGTACAGTAATAATGTTTACAATAAGTACAAAAATAGTTTGTAGATTATCTATAGATATTCATTTATACTGGATACCTGAACTAATGTAAGAAAGTCTTTTCACGATTTTTATTTTCAGTATTTTCCGTACCGAAAATATTATTTTGCATATATCATGCAGTAAATTGTCAGATATACAGTACATACAGTATGCTATGTTTTTCTGAAAGCAAAATAATGCTAAATGTTTTTTATAGATACTTAAAAACACATTTTTTGTGGATTTTAATCACAAATATGGATGCCATTTATTTATTCGTTTTAGACAAAACTAAACAAAACAAATACTGGGTCTTATTTTCCTTTAAGGGAACAGCCACTTTTCCTCCACCTAGAAAGAGATATCACATTTTTTTTTTTGTCTTACCAAGCCAAAATTCATCCTCCAGGTTGCCAAACCCATATCTGTAGTCGTTCCATTTCCTGGAAAAATCGGTCAGGCCATTCTGACGCCTTTGGAATACCTGGGACGCAAAAATAAACGGCACACATGTACAGTATTAATAGCTTTGTGGAGACAGACAAGTTTTCCTTAGCTCATGCTTTGTTTTGTTTTTTTGCTAAGCCAAGACAGACTAATATGGAAGTGGTTGCAATATCAGCATGCACTGGATGCAATGGAACAAGTCAAGGTCAATTAAGTTCCGCAGACGAAACGTCATGTTTCTCTTTTCTGGTTTTCAGCGTGAAATGTATACTGTGTATATATGATCCTACTACTTTTTTGGTTTGGTTGAAGCATTTCCTTTTGTACATGTTTCTTGAAAAGCAGGAGCCCTAATTATATCAGGACTGCTGTCATTTTTAATTAATTTTGTCTTCTAATCTTGTTCCTAATGGTTCTTCCGGGATTTGATATCCGTTAAAATCCTGACTGCAAAGCTTTCTTACTATTCATTAGAAAGCATTTTAAGATATGAGCATTGTTTGTGGTAGTGTACCCTACTATCACAAACAAAGATACTTACAATCCACCCTCCACCATCAGTGATCATGTCACAGTAGACCTGCACTCCTTGGCTGGGGTCTCTGTTCACATAAATAGTGTAAACCCCACTCAAGGTCTCGCCATTCAGTAGGTGTTGAGCACAGTTTTGAGGGGTGGCAAACAGGCGATTTCCTGGCAGGTACAGGGAAAGATAATGCTTACTGGAAGACATTTTTAACTCGTGTGTATGGGCGGACTTCTGTTTTCTTTTTCACTTTCACTAGAAATATTTCTTGTTATACAGTGTCCATTACGTACCCAATAACTCATATCACAGTCTCATAAAATATGAAGGAGAACCTTGTTAAACTACAACAAAAACGTTTTTTCAGCGTTTAATTAATGAGTGGTTTCCTCACACAGTCTAAACAAATGCTGCCCAGGTTAATTGGCACCTTTAAATTGCCCCCTGTGTGAGTGAGTTAAGGCATGTCTGTGTGCCCTGTGATGGATTGGTGCCCACTAATGATGGAGTCCCACTTGACACCAAGTGCCTTCTGGATTAGACTCCGACTCACCTCCTCTGATGGATGTAACAGGGAGAGCAGCAAACTGTGAATTATGAAGAAAGATGGGGGGCCTCGCACTGTTATTTCTCGGCTAATACACCAATTAGATTACAGAAATGTAGAATTGCATAGTGTTCATCATAGTCTGGAGATTTTGCCACAAACCAGAATCTTTGAAAAACTAAAGTCGAGCAGTAACTGTGACCTAAAGGGATTTGGGTCTACCTGTGGAAAAGGATGTTGAAACAGTGACACTGGTTTCAGAGCCTCGGACAGCCTGGAGCTTCACTGTGTACTCTGTTGTTTCAGTGAGGCCCTCCAACCGAATCCATGTGTCCTCAGCATCAATAATCAGCTCCTAATTCAAAAGAGAGATTGCAAAAGACATGAATATCACTTCTAAAACTTCTGCATAAAATGGAATACAGAATTCTGGAGACAAATTCACATTCAGCAGGCGGTGGCACTGTGGCTAAGGATCTGCGCCTGTGGCTGGAATGTTACTGGTTGAAATCCTGCGGCCATCAGAGGAATCCTACTCCAGTTGGGCCCCTGAGCAAGGCCCTTAACTCCAACTATATAAATGGCTGACCCTGCACTCTGACCCCAAGCTTCTCTCTCCGTGTCTATGTCTCATGGAGAGCAAGCTGGGGTATGTGAAAAGACAAATGCAAGAAATTGTATATGGCTAATAAAATGATCTTATGTGTTGCCTTTCTGTTTTATAAAATCAGAGAGGAAGGGATGAAACCTTCACATTTTGTGTAATACAAAGTCATTGCAGGAAATATGTTTCTTTTTAGGAAAGTGAACATTTTTGCACTTCGGATGAAGTTTGTAACTGGGGACTGCTCCTTCAGATAAGTGTGACTGTGATTGACACTGACCTGCATGGCAGTGATAATGACAGGAAATTCTATATGTGGTCTCTAGCTTCCATACTGTAGGTAAAAACAGTTCACTCGACTTTACTGTTTTTGCCAAATCTGTCTTTACTGAACCATGCCCCAGTGGGGTCTCATGTTTTTGAAAATCTAGGGTACATTTCAATAAATTAATAAATTGAACATTCAGTGTGTTCTCTGAGAGAGGTAAGGGACTGATCAGCTGCATCTAACATGACCATGAGCTACATACATTTTAAAAAGGATTATCAAATATTAAATGTTTCTAAAAAAGCTCACATATTTAATTCATGTCATTTAGCTTAAACCGTAAAGTGGTATTAATAAAATTAGAACATATTTTTATTTGTTTGTAGAGAAAGTACACAATATTATTGTTTGTGAAGGCAGCAAAACAAAATGAACTTGGATTGTAACTGTATTAATAGCTCACTGATGTATTCAACAGATACACATGATGAAATGTAAGAGAAAAAAAGGCATAGGAATGACAATTATTTTATTTGGACAATGGCGGTTATCCCTTTACAATATTGCCCTCTTCTGGCTGTAGAAAATGTGAAAAGCGACAATGAATGAAAAACTGGTACAATTCAAGAGAATCTGTATGAAAAATATTCTAGTTTTAAAGCAGATATCACAGGAAAAAAATATTTAGTTTTAGAGTAGGTTGAATGAGCATATTGTTCTGTGTTCTCTTTCACAGACATAATTGCGGCATTTCTAAACAGTTGAAAAATTACTTTTGCCTTAAATGCCCTAAAACATTTTTTTTAATTATGTCTATATTGTACAATGTACAATATAGACATAATTCTACAATATAAATTTACAATTAAAATTGTACAATATAAAGTGTAATTTTCCTCATCTATTAAGGGTATGAATATGAAAAATGCAATATTTTTAAAAACATGGTTTGAGAAGCCATAAGATAGTTATTCAGGTGGGCAGCTGCGTCAGCATGCGTAGGCTGCAAAGGAACAAGTAATACTGTAGGTCCAAGCTGAAAAAAAGAAGAAAGAGAACACAACGTTTCGGCAGTGGAGCCTTCTTCAGGTGTCACATTACTTGTTCCATAAGATAGTTATGTCTACTCTAGTGATGTGAGGAACAAACTGGTAATTCATATTCCCATGATCCCTTGCATGTGTCCGTCTTAAGGCCCAAAATAGTGTTTGAAAGTGCCATCTAATATCTATAGGTTTATTCCATGCTGAAAAAAAGAAGAAAGAGAACACAACGTTTTGGCCGTGGAGCCTTCTTCAGGTGTCAGCCTTCTTGACACCTGAAGAAGGCTCCACGGCCAAAACGTTGTGTTCTCTTTCTTCTTTTTTTCAGCATGGAATAAACCTATTACTTGTTCCTTTGCAGCCTACGCATGCTGACGCAGCTACCCACCTGATCTAATATCTATACTGTATAAAATACCTTAGTGTGTTATTCACCCGCAAAAGTGCAGTGTGTATTGAAGTATTGAACTGTGTCAACTGTAAACAATTTCACCCTGCTTTTTTTAAAACAAAAACCTTATATACCTTTTAAACTAATGGACTACTAAACTACAGATACTGTCATCAACTGTGATGAATAGAGCTATATTACATGCAAAAGCTTGAGAGATTAATACCTATCAAAGACCATTAGCAGTGCAATCAGATGGACACAATTATGAAAATTCTACTAAATGCAAAGGGAAGTAACTGCTTTGTGCCATTGATAAGCTTATTTCATGCTAGTACATCCTGGCAGTTAATCATCCATTTAATCAGGCTTTTCAGTCTCAGATAGCTGCTTATTGTTGGCAAGGCTCATAGTTACACTGAGTTTATCCTGGAAGTAAGAGGCATAAAGTAAAACTGCAACCTGGATCTAATGTTACATCTATTAAAGGGCACACATGGAAGAAACCGAAACCAAAAAAAAAACTAGGCAGTGTAATCTTTGAAACTTAACTATGTTCATATTATTTAGTTACATGAAAAAATGACAGTCTTGCTACCAACAGGCCAAACATATATGTGTTTTTCAATTGCAGAAAAACTCTTACATGCCCAGAACATTACATTTCTGCATAATATGTCCTTTTAATTTACTGGAATCATAACGATTAAAAAAAAACAACCCCGATAAACTCCTTCAGCTTGTCTGGAAATCTCCTGAGTTAACACTCATATCAGACAGAAGACAGTGTGAAAAGGGAGAAAATCAATTAATATGAGGCAAATAATGCTGCTTTTTGTATTAATTAATATGATAATTTACCTATCAAAGGCTTCCTGCTTGAATGCCTTAGGTTTTTTATGAGGCTACTATATGTTGCCCAGGAGGAACTTGAAAGACTTGCCTTTCTGTGTCCGTTTCTGGATTTGTAGGTAAGGAGGTAATTGTCAATGTCGGCAATGGGTGGCTGCCAGGAAATTAGAGAGCTCCTGTGGGTGACCTCACTCGCTGTCAGGTTCTGGGGTGCGTCCATGGCTGTGGAGAGGGGTGACAAGGTGTCAGGTGCTAAACGGAGCATCTGTTCCTCAGTCTGTTGTCCACTGTGACAGGACCAACCCATTTATTCCTGTTGCATTTTCAGATGTTCCTCAAAGCTACTTATGGCTTATCAACATTTTCCCATTTTATAGAGCACAGAATCCTGTGAAGTCCAAATAGCTGAAGGTTTGTGCCTTCAATAATAGAAGAAGGTAACCAAAGATTTGTTTTTAACACCTGGAATGTGCACATTTTGTTCGTAGACGTCTTTTTTCTTTTTTCTGAGCAACAGATTTTAAACTATGACAGGCTTCTTGCAATTTTTGCGAAAAAAGAATGGGGACTTTACTGCATTTCCTTGACAGTGTGATTGAGTGTCATTCCTCTTAAAATGACAACTTTACTGGAAACATTTATACAGTTGTTCAATTGCTGCTGCTAATTTAGGAGGATACTTCTTTATTTGTATGGTGTCAAAGAATCCATGGTGGTTTGTTTTCTCTGCCTTCCATTACATTGAGTGCTATCTTCACCTCTTTCCCATCAATCACAAAGTCCACTTCTTTCTCTTTTAATTATTCTCAGAATTGACTCACACATGTGTTTCTTTTTAGCTCATTAGCAGTAGTTTGCAACTGTTGGCAGTTTTTTATATATGAAGTGATTAGCAAAATTAGCCCAAAAAACACTTAATGGAGCTGTTTTGTTTGCAATTTGCAGGGACCACCTAACTAGCTTGTACTGTATCTTGCGAGTCTCATTAGCATGATTATGACTCTCGAATACAGCTTCAAAACAACCTTGTAGAACAGGAACAGTTTATCACAATCTTTGTGGACAACCCTCCAGCTAGCTTTTTCATGTTGAAAGAGACTGCAGTACTTTTTATGATAAAACATCAATCAGTACTAATTTAAGATTGAGAAATTGTTAGAAGCGTTAATTTCTTTATGGACTTGACAAGTCTCACAGAGGAAAAAGATGACAACTTGGTTTTGCCTGTCACTCTGTTAGACACCCTTGAAAATAACAGTTTAACACTGATTAAATTACATGCAGATGTTCATCAAAGTGTGTTTAGTGCATTTCACACAATCAACATTGTCATGCTTTATCAGAGCATAACGGCATCCAAAAGGGCTCTCTTATTAGAGCATAACCACTCTGAAAGTGAGAGACAATCACTGACAAATTATAACAAACCTGGCTTGAAATTTTCTATGCTTAGCCAATTCCAAAATGTGGCTTTGAGGGTTCCCAGACAGTTTTGTCATATACAAATTAATCTGTTCTCAACACAAGGCACAAATCTCAAATAATTCAAATCTGATGTCTATAATGACGGAAGCCACAGCTACCTGATCTGCAGTAGCTCTGATTGCCTCCCTTTCAATCTGACAGCACATAACTATTTGGTTTATTTTGTTTTACAGACACAGAATGACAAACACAGTACATTGAATAGCTTTTGGTCTTCAGCTCTATTTTATTGAGATATTGAAATGGTCCCAGCTGTGCACCAACCTTTAGCCTTACTGCAATTTGCTTTGGGTACCTATAACAATCTAATGGGTTTGTATTTTTTTTGCGTTTACTTTCTGTTGAATTTTCTTCTTAAATCCGAAAAACAAGCTTAAACCTACATCTCTGTTGAGCTGGGAAAAATAACAGGGCTTTGGTTTTCCAAAAGCAGGGCTACATACGTGTAACAAAATTGGTAGTAACGGTATCACTGGTGAGAGGTCCCTTAGTGGCGTACAAGGCTGCAGAGTAGCTTGTCCTGGGTATGAGTCTGCTGAGCCCCTGCTCCTGCTTGTTTCCCTCTATCAGTATAGTGTCAGCAGCTACTAAGAGAATCAAGACAAATGATTACTGGATCAGATATATCAAATAAAGTGAATTTTAATGGTAGCTATCCAATTGGAAGCGAACAGTGTGACTAGCTCAAGGCCTCAAAGTGGCTCCTCATTTGATAGCTATTAATCTATCAATCTAACTCAACCAACCTGATCTTTTTTTTGGGGGGTAAAAGTGATGCCATCTCTCCTGTGGTGAAAATTCCTTCATTAACATTAGCAAATTCACTGAGTCATTCATTCTCCAGTGTCAGTGGCATCACATTCTCTTCTTAGCAATCAACCTTGAAACAGTCAACTTTTAGTTGTGTAATGGTTGTAGTGTAAGAGAGAAACAATTGCCTTTAAAAAATAGTACAAATTACATTTTTCCAACCAAGTCTAGTGAAGATCCTTTATCATGTATAAATATAGTGTCTAAATATAATGAAGAAGGAAATTTATAAAGAACAAGAATGTTAAGGAAAATGTTTCTTTACCCATGTGAAACTACACAGTCTTGGTTTCTTAAGCAACAGTGGAATGTGAGTATGATTATTTCTGACTTGCACATCCTTACCTTGGTTGTGAGTGAGGATCAGGACATAATTATCCACAGTGGAGAGTGGAGAGCTCCATCTCAACAGAGCGCCTGTTGGAGTAACATTCAAAGCAGCCAGATCCAGAGGGCTGTCCATTGCTGAGCGAAAAGGATGACACAAAGGAATATTAGAGAGGCAGGCGTAGAAGTATTGTCACATGCATTTTGCAGAGGAATAATCAAATAGTGTCATGTGTGCTGAGGAAAGCATTTGCTTGAACTTAGAGGAAAAATCTCAGTCAAACTAGTCAGAGCGATAAATTGGCCTGTTTTGGTGAATGTCAGAAAAAAGGCAGTGAAATCCCAACGAGAACATGTTAAGTACAGTAAAATATTTGAGAGAATTAAAGTTGTTTCTTTCCAATTTTTGCTTCATTGAAAGTATACTAAGTTCTATCCCACGTGCGTACAATCCAATCTATCTAAACTTCCTGCTTAATTCAATATGTGAAGAAATTGCGGATTTTTCCACTCTGTCTGCTGTTGTAGAGTGCTGGCAGCTTCTTACAAAGTAGAGTGCTGAAAATCAGTGGCAGATGAAGTGGCTCTCTCCCTGTATGTAAGTAAAAGGGAAGAAAGCTATATAAAAGTAAGGAATCTTTCTTTTCTATTTTTATCTCACTTCTCCTAAGTTTTTCGGTACGTTATTGCAAAGCTCTTTGCATAATAGAGCTAAATCCGTGTCTGTCTCTTTAAAAGTCTAAAACCTATATTAAACTATAAAATTACTAGATTTTTTACTACATTTGGGCCATTTTATGAGAACCATTTCTACTAATTGGTAACTAGGGTGGAGTCTTCTCTGGCACAGAATTGGAACACTTTGCTGAAACCTGTGCATTGAATAGTGGGCTTGAAATTGGTAAAACCTGTTTGATACCTTTGGAAACTTCAGGTTGATCCATTTTCATCTAAATGGTTTGTTTTGGCAAAGATGAGATCAACATATCTCAAGAGGTTGGGACACAAGCCTTAAGCTTTCATATCAGGGGGCTCATTGATGCTAAAGCAGAAATTGCTAATATACATATTAAACCACAGGAGATGGGAGCCACTGCAAAGTTTTCAGCACTTCAAAAACACCCCACAATGGAAGGTGGGAATATTCTATGGTAGAAATAGAAGGTCGATCTAGATCAATAAGACATGATCACCCTATCTAATCAATAACTCAAGCTCAATGTAAAACAGTCTATCTATGACAGATTGGTCTCATGTGGAATATTTGGACCCACAAATTAGACAAGCAACCTTGTCAGCTTCTGATATCTTGTACATCTAGTTCTCTTTGAATTTAGGGATTCCCAGTCACGACTCCAGAACATTTATTTTACAGAACTTCAAAAACATGCAGATACTGTACTTTGAAAGGAAAGCAATTGACTGGGAACTATGTTATACATGTATTTTTATTGTAACAGAGCACAGAAAGCTTACTGTGTACATTTTTAATCCACTATATCTAACGCTTCAGGCATACTGTCTGAAAACTCCTTTCCTCCCAATTTAATCAGTATTCTTTGCAATCTATATTCTGGATCTTCACTTCTGCTAAGCCAATTAAGTGTAGTGACCTTGTAACACATTTTATCTTTCACCCACTGATTGCTGAGAGTATATTAATTAAGGCCCTCTGTGTAATATTCTATTGGATGAGGAGCTTAGTATTTATAACCATCAATTAAACCTGAGCCATTTCCCTACATGGTATTCTATTAAAATGATAGTGTAAATGACAACATTAATATAATAGAATTAAATTCAGAATGCCAATAAGCCTGCTTTAAATGATCACGTGTGTTTTACTTAATATACTTCAATTTTTTAGGCTGTTGCTTATTCTGTTGGTCAGCTACATCAGAGATCCTAGAATTACTCGGTATACAAACTTATAGCTGTAGGGTTACACTTTCATTTACATTTTACATGATGCTAAATTTTGTGTGTTGGGACTGTTTCATGGCAATTAAAAATATCTTTGCAGGGTTCATAGGACAGAGAGTTATTCAGGTTTACACTAAGAATGGTTATTGAGAGGGACAAAGCAGCTGGAAATGCGTCCCATTTTCAATTTTTACCTTATTCATCCTCTAATTTAGAATGCTTAAGCATTCCAAATAAGAAAATGAATAGGGTTAAAACAAACTATGCATATTTAACTCATCTTTATTGTGGTTTCCCCGACACATCAGGTTATCATTGTGGCTTAAAGTCATTAATAGGGAACTACTAAGCATGCTGAATTTTTAGACCAGGTTTGTATTTTGTTAAAAAGTTTAAAAAACTATAAACCAGTTTCACATGTCCAAATGTCCCACACAAGGGGTTGAAAGTCAGCAGTAGCCAGAACGCTGTTTATATGTCACAGGAAGTACATTAGCAATGAAAGCTGTTATATTAATACTGGTATTGCAAAGTGTAAAGAACAATCGATAGAAGACTCATCCTGCTCAGCTCAGATTCTTCAGAACCTTCAAAATAAATCATTGGGGAAACTATTCACCAAGGGAGGCTTAATTACTCAGGTGTTTAATATTCTTATGTGCTACTGATATGGCAGTCAGCCATCTGCCTACTACACGAACAACAAAGACTTGAAATCTCCTTTATTTCTCGTCAATATTTACCAAATAAGCTCTTTCAGTACATTTCCTCTTTTGATTTTGTTCTCATTAATTTGATGCTCAATACAACACAAAAGCTGAAATGCAGCTCAGAAGAGGTCAAAGACAAGAAGGAAAACAAAATCTGTGAATGTTACAAATCCAATAGAACTTAGAGCCTGCATCTACATGAAACATGTTTTATTCCTTTCATAAAATGCTTAAACTTATTTGTAAGCCCATTCCATACCATATGGAGCACTAGACTGGATTTACCCTAGATGATGATAACAACACAACACTGAATAATAATAATAACACACTAAGTTTGAGACTGCAATTAACAGTGAATTGGTGATGAGTTACCGAAGTCAGAAAAACAGCATCCTACTTAGTTACACAGGCAGGAATAGTTAAGGGTGAGCCAGATTGTGGAATTTAACAAGCATATGGGGAGAATAATGTCCATACTCTTTGGAAACCTGGCTTGGGATCTTTAGCAACTGGAAGTATTCAGGACCTCAGGTTATTGTCTTATCTGGAGAACGTCACCTCCTATACTACACTAATTCTTTCCTTAGTTAAAACATGCTATAACTTCTAATGTATGGTAAATATGGATATTATTTAAATCAGAAGGCAGGAATCCCAGAAATTATGGAAGGACAGACCTTCATGCTGTAAATCCTCTGGAGTCTCTACCTCTCACACAGTTCTTGGTGAGATGTATTTTCAGAAATGTTGGGCAGCCGATTCTTGCAGTAAGTTCAAGCTACAGACCTGTGTGCACGTTGGTTCTGACAAGCTCGCTCTCCTGGTTCCCACGCACTGCGTTCAGATTTATCTCGTACTCAGTCGCTGGATGCAGGTTGCTCAGTGTGTAGTTAGTCACATCATTGTCAATCACCAGGCTGTCCACTCTCCCTGTGGTACCCAACAACACAAACAACTGTTAGACTGCAAAAGAAGACAATTAATGCCTCAAGCCTGTAGCACCTTTGACAGTGTATATTATGTATTCTGGCCCCACCTGCACAAGCTGGTCAAACATATTTATGAAGAAATTAAAGTGATGAATCCCTTTTATTTGTATCTGAAGCAGAGATCAATAAGAACAATTGTCATTATGAAAGTTATGTACATGAATTGAAGTTATTAAATAAATTAAGCCTTGCTGGATTTTTAACATAATAGATGTGCAGGATTAATTTTCTGTTTCTAGATCCAGAACATATCAGGTTTTCAAAAGCTTTTCAAAAGTTGTTATTCTCGTACTGAACTGAAGTTTATCAGCAGCTATTGTACAAGAAAGCAGAAAAAAGTCATTTTTGTTCTTTCTTCTCTTACAGATGTCTTCCTGCTATTTTTAAAATAGAAAACTTGAAAGAGGTTTTTGCTTCAATGTCTTTTGTGCAACGTTTGAGTTTTACATCCGATTAAAATGAGCTGAAAAGGAGGCTGTTAGATCCGTTAGTTCAAATTGAAAAACAAAAGTGAAGGCACCTCGTGATGACTGGTATGACATCTTGTAAGAGTCAAATGGTGCGATAGGTGGGATCCAGGATAAAGTAACCGAGTTCTCAGTGATGAATGAAACAGCTATGTCTTTTGGAGGATCCATTCCTAGAAGAAGACAGATTAACCTTTTCAGAAAGCCACTCTCATAAATAGAATTTAACCCACATTCCAAAGTGTTACTATTTGCTACTGTTGTTACTATTGAATCCCAGAGTCACAGAAAATAATAGGTGTGTAGTCAGTTTTGAACTATTTCCAATCTACTTTATACAGTAAATCATGGCATCATCTTTAATTTATTAGATGGAAAGTTTGCTTCCAAATGATGACACTTTTCCCCTTTGTACCTACAGTACAGTATATGCCAAGCAGTAAATATAAACTATACACAGTGTTTTCTTTGCTCTATCTGTTTGATATTTCAAAGGGAAGTTCCTCCAAATTGCATGACATAAAAGCATGCTTTACAACAAATAACCCATGTCAATTACAGCAATCAAATGTATTGAGTTACACTGAAATTAAATGTCTTTTGTACCGGAGATGGCAGCTTACTTGCAGCTGCAAAGATGCTGTTCACAAATAGAGACTTTGCCTTTTTTGTTTACTTGCCAGTTCTGGATGAGAAAGTGTATAATTTTGTCGGATTAAAGTCTATTTTGATACATTTTTATTTATACTGTATATGCCTCAGAAGCAGCACGAAAAGTTACAAAGGCATTAATGCAGGCACATTCAAAGTCTGTGCTTTTTTTAAGAAGGATTAAAATAAACAAGCAGACAAAAAGCAGATGATCTGCAATGTGAGTTTTTTTGACCACCAGAACCTGAACCTGTCTCTGTATGGCTTTGTTCTTCTGGCTTCAATAGACTAGTGTGACAGCGAAGGTTATCTGTAAAGCCTTATGTAAATGTAATTGCTCTGATTCAGTTAATCTAGGAAGAAAAAACAATAGATTTTAAAATAAATTGAAAGAACGAGGAATAATGTCTTAATGACAGCACTGTAGATTGAATTTTCTATGATGGTTCAGAGTAGTTTGAAGAATAGCTTTGAAAAAAACAAAAAACAACTGCTATTGTGTCTATTGTGTAATGTCATTATGACAGCTGTAATTTTTGAAATAGGCTACCAATGTAAAGTAATGTTTTTCAAGTTCATTTAGATTCTGGCTGAAGATAGCATCCTGATACAATTCAATTGTAATTATTCATGAATGCGTATTTCCAATATTTTTATTCATTGTGACTGTCAATCACAGTAAATGCTCAAAAATGTGTTTGAATATTAAGTTTTCTTCAAAAACATATGTGGAAACCATACAATATGGAGCCAGACAATAGCAAGCTATAAAAGCACTACATGATATATTTACAAAATAATCATGTACTACCATCTTTGAATATGATGCACAAATAAGATTAAGAAATTAGGTATTATTTTGTACAAAAATGTATACCTTGCATTAATTTCTTAGCCTATTTAAATTCTATGTAGAGCCCTGGATGAAAACCTCTACACAACGGAAAAAAAACAGTGTAAAGTTTTTTTTACCTGTAAAACAGATCAAATGTAGGAAAATAAAGCATACTGTAAATTGTTTTATCCTGCAGAATATGTTTCACATGAAATGTTTTCTATTCTATTGGGTGACAACCATTCCTCTGAAATGAGTTATTATAGGTCTGTGTATTGACAGGCCTTGGAGAAATAGTATCAGGCAGGTCTTTATGTACAGAATTATGACCTTTGTATTGCCATAATTCGAGTAAGCTCTTGGTTATGATAATAAGTCTTATATCTCACACTGGCAGCTGCAAATTACAGCTTCCCCTTAGCTTGGTTAGAAATTTTAGTTACTTCCACATTCCAGGAGTGACAGTTAAGAGCGAATTACACAGAAAAGCCATCAATCCACTTTCTAACTGCTTCATCCAATTCAGGGCTGAGGTGGGAGTCGGAGTGTTGGGCAAGCAATGGGGGCAGGGCAGGGCAGGGAACACCCAGGAGGGAATGCCGGTCCATCACAGGGCACACACAGACAGACATGCACTCACTCACACTAGGGCCGATTTTCACAGTAGCCTAATAACCTACCAGTATGTCTTTGGACTTACACAGAAAGGCATTCATTAAAAAAAAGTGTAATGCAGCTATGTTGAAGTCTTCATTGTAAAATATGATAAATAAACATCAGAAATATCTGTTACACTGATTAGGACTTGATCAAGTAATTAGTCTGGGACTAAGAAAGATTTTTGCCACTTTCTGTCCACGCAGTACTTCATGAGATCTAGATACTCCACAATGCACAGACATCAGATATTTCAAATCATGCTGTACTGTACTGTATATCCTATTGCGTTTTGAGGTGTACCTGTGATAACTGAGCCTTCTACTGGCTCAAAGGTTTTAGTCCCTTGAACAGACACCAGGGTGACAATATACTCTGTGGATGGTTGCAAGCCAGTGAGAGTTGCTTGTGTCTTTGAGCCTTCCAGTGTGATCTCTGTGGTCTTGCCATGGTCCTGGGGGTTGTAGTTTAAGACGAACATGTCAGCAGGTGGGGCAGGGGCACTCCACGCCACCGTCACTGTGGAGGAAGTGATGTCGGAGAAGTACAGCTGCGTAACCGGTCTGAATCCTGGAACCCAAAGCGTTTGGTCAAGGAGAATGCTCTTCATACAATGTGAGCAGTTGATTCTGACATTAGAAGGATTAGCACTTGCAAAGACTTAGCGTTCCGTCTGTAATGCAGGTGCAGCGCAGTGATTCATGAGCAAGGATATGAAGGATGAGCAAGTGCGCTGAAGCCCATTGCAATGGAACCTCTGTGGCACCTGAAGCATTGATGGCGCTGGCTACGGGATGGGGTTTCATGAGATTGGTGGTGTACAGGATGCAAAACGCTCAGCAGCAGGTGAAGATGCAAGAGTGTCCATCAGAACGACAAGTCTTGACATGGAGGTAGAGCACGACTCAGTTGTAGCAGGGAAGAAAGAGAAGCACCTGACTTGGCAGCAAGCGAGGAAAAATGCTGATGTTTGCAGGACGTATGCAAAAATGGCGATGGGGCAATGATGGGGAACCGAGGCCACACAGTACCATGATTGCATTAGGGAATCCGATTCTTTGATGCTCACCAGTTGAGACAACAGAGCTGGGAAAATGGTTTTTCACCGATTAAGATACTCTGTACTAGTGGATATTTTAAACTTTTGTTATTTACATATACAGTATGACATACAGAGTTGGCTTTGACTCAATGCTAAACTGTCAAAATGTATTATTGGAAGGTCCTTATAATGTATTACAGAAGACAAGCAGAGATGCTGAAAATGAGTTTCTTGTACCTGTGAAAGCGTCGATGGTGGCTGCAGCACTCTGCTGCCTGCCTCGCTGTGCAGACACGGTTAGGGTGTATTCTGTGCCAGGCTCAAGGTCAGTCAGGGTCACTGCTGACTTGTCTTTAGACACTATCACCTCAGAGGTAACATCTGCGGATGAGGTGTAAGTAACTCTGTAGTTGTCAATGGGTCCGTGTACCTTCCCCCAGACCAGGGAGATAGTATTGTCTGTGGAGTCCGTCACTGTCAAATCCAAAGGGCTGTCAAGACCTTGAAGAATGAGTAAAAAATGTAGTTAGAAAATACAGATTACAATAAGGAGTATATTATTACCAATGCTGTTAAACATAATGTTGAATGATTTGTGTATTGTAAGGAAATATATACAGTATATATATAATTAGTATATGTGACAGTGCAGAGGGGGAGGCACGTGGCGAGCACCGGCAAAAAGTCAACGCCCCGGGAGAGGGGAGGGAAGCAGGGACCAAAACTAATACCCCAAAAAAATCAACAAAAAGCAAAAGAAAAGTGAACCGCTGTGCCTCGTGACCTCCAGACTGGGCTTACCCTATTTAACGGGGTCCAGTCAGGTGGAGCAGGGCGTGTAAGGCCAAAAGCAAAAATAGAAAAGAAACAGCCTTCCCTGGTGGTACTACACAGCAGGTCAAGAGAAAAACGAAAAAGAAAAGAGAAAGAACACCTTTCGCGGGTGCAATCCCCTCTGGGACCGTCGGTGTAAAACTCCCCACTTCTGGGGGAGAGGGGGTCCCTGCTCAACCCTTCCGGGGCTGTCCAGTGTGCCTTTATAGGATCTGCCCAGCTGTGGCTCATCATCTAGAAGTGAGGACAGCCGGGACTACCAAGGCGAGGCTCCGCCCTTCTACCAGGGCTCCGCCTCCACACTGGACACGCCCCCGTGCACATGCTTTTCAAGAACAACTAATTTTCTCTATATAATACAGACAATATAGTTGTATTTAAAAAGCATGTGCTATTTCTGATCTTGAAAAATGAAGACCAGCGCATGAGGACTGTATTTCTACAGATTACATATAATTCTACATGTAGCTTTGCCAGCCTGTTTATTTCTTGCATTGACAAGAAAGCTTCCCCCAAAAAGGGGAGTAATGAATCTAAAACTATTATTCCTTTACACATAGAAGGTAGAGAAAAACAATGGCTTTATACAGAATGGTTTCAACATAAGTTGGCGTATACGTAACAGATGCAACAGATGCAGATACGTAACAGAGCTGCTTAGTACTTTTTTTTTTTGGATGCTGAAATAAATTTCGGACCTGTCCTGGCATTCATTGTCGCGGGGGCACTGAGATTGCCCCCTATAGTGGCCGATATCCCGATGCCATATTCTGTTCCAGGCACTAAGTCTGGAAAGAAAAGAAAATAAGTAATTGTGATAACAGTATTACCCATAGCCATTATAAGACAGTGTTTTAAAAGTCTGGCTTTTTAAGTAACATGAAGTCATTCTAAGGTTGCACATACTGTATGCAAAGAGGAAGGATTTGGCGTTTCAAGGTGATTCTGTAAGTTGTGAATATTAAATGAAAATAATCGATAAGATAACTGAACTGTGGCACTTTACAGACGGTAAAGTAAAATCAACTAGAGAGAGATACGTATGAGCACACGGCCCAAGATGTAAAAAAAAAAAGGAAACTAAAAAAGCCTGCCAAGAAGACTTTCATTAAGGATGTTTTAAATACATCTAAATAATGAAAGACTGCAAATGAGCAATTTTAATGCATTTTGCTAAGAGTTGAGCAAACCCTTTTTAACAAATAAGTTAAACAAAAATCAATTTGACCACATCCTGCTTATCAGTTAACAGAAACAGCAAAAGCGGGCATCGATTTCCACAGATCTGTCGACAAGGCACTTCAAAACCTGGATATATTCCAGGTCAGGCGCTTCTAGAGCATTTTTTTTTCTTGTAAGGATTGTGGCTTTCATTCTTTTTTTTTCAAAATGTCCTACTGAAAAAAAAAGAGTTGCTAACAGTGTTACCACCCAGTGCTACTAATGCACGGTTTCTTAAAAAAGACCCTACATGCAGCCCGAAATATAAAGGAAATCACATTAAACTAAGATCTGAGTGAAAAGTACTTAATGTACGATCTGTAATCGATCTTCAAAATATTTGTTGTGTGATTCTTGTAGAAGAAATGTAGAAGAAATTACTTAAAAACATAAATTAACAATACTGAAGCTATATTTGGTCAGCTAGAAAGTAGCTTGAATCAAGTGATTGGAATTACTTTTAGTTGTGCTCCTATCCACATCTACTGCACGGTGCTCAAATTTAATAAAGAGGTGTCACTGTTACAAAATGAATTGGAAAGAAAACAAGGATTTGATAACAAAACCTCATCATCGGCAGCTTCACTGGCCTGACCTTGTTGTTTTTGTCATTTATACCTGTTAATGTGGTTCTGGTCGTCAACCCATCATTCTTGGTGACAATGACTTCATGGTACTGGTCTCCTGCTAATGTGCTGTAAACCACCTTGTAATTCTCCACTTCAGCCTCACTATTGTCCCACTCCAGTTCCAGGACACTGGAGGTTTTTGAGACAACACGGAGGTTCTTGGGGGCATCAATTTCTGCGAAAAGAAATAAAAATTAAAATACTGTTCTGAATCTATAAGACCGTCTTAGGAGTGGTTGATCAACCAGAAATGATGTCATATTTTGTTATCTGGTTTGATGGTAGCCTGACCAAACAAGCATAGGATTATACAAAGCTCTCCTACAGTAAGTTTAACTATTAATTTTATTGTATCAGTTAGCAAACAGAATCTAAAAACGGACATTTACTCCCAATGAATATATTGGGATTCACAAAAAAGGAACCACTTCCAGACCCCAAAAAATTAAAGCAAGACAGAAAGTCAAACTATTTGCTCAAAATTGAGGTTAGGAATTGGTTGAGTAAGCACAGTAATACATACGCACAGTATTAGGTGAAGTCATGCCTTACCAGTTACAAATTCAATTGAAACAGCATTGCTCTCGTTCCCCTTCCGGACACCACTCACTGACACCTCGTAGTGGGAGCCTGGCCTCAGGACCTGTAGAGAGTACTGGCTCAAAGTGGGCTGCAGTCTGAAGGTGGTCCTAACGCCCTCTCCATCGATCAGCCTGTACCTCAGAACAATCTGATCCACTTTAGCCTTAGGAGGAGTCCACTCAACAAAGGCTACTGTGTCTGAGACATCTCGAACCATCAGCTGGCTTGGCCCATCGATCACTGTGAACAACAGCATCATTAAAATAGAAGCTACTGTGAGCAGCAATTTTCATTGCATGCAGCTCCTCACAGACAATTCTAGCAGTACAGAACAAACATCTAGTCACCATCTATCCAGCCACCCAACCATTGTCAGAAAGCTGTTTATTCCTGGAAGAGGTCACAGCAACCTGGTTGCACCGGGTTAAAATGTTGAGACTACAGCTTGGACTGGATGATGCAACTGTCTTATGTGTGAGAGCATTAGAAAAACACTCTTTGCCACAATCAGTGACTGATGATGAAATTCTAGAAATTCTTCATTTTAAATATCTGGCTGCTTCAAATGAGATTGAGGTAATAAAGTTTCAGGCTTTACTGACGTGCTTATGATCCTCAGGAACTTTTTAAATGTGACTGTAGTTTTCAAGTTAAAGTAACAAATGTTGACGATTACAAATTAGAAGGAATTAAAAAAGAGTGATCACCACATGTAACGAAAACAAAATGTTCTAAAAGGAAAATCACGGCTAACGTACTGTAATAGGTCTGCAAAACACTTTTAGAACAAGCAGTATAAAACGTAAAGGTAGTTCAGGTTGGTACTGTAGCTACGTCAGTTTGCAAAGGAACAAGTAATAGGTTTATTCCATGCTGAAAAGAGAAGAAACACAACGTTTTGGCTCTGAAGCCTTCATTGGGTGTGAGCACAGTCGAAACGTTGTGATTTCTCTCTTCTCCTAAAACTTAATGGGCTCTTTTGTTAGTTCCTCATTTGGTTATTCATGGAGTTGCAGCACGTAGCAAGTCTGCGAAAGGCAAAGGCATTGATTTTAAAACCCTGTTTTATGTGCTCTTAAACGTTCATTGTTATACTTTTATGCAGACCTTTTATATTTTAAAATCTGATGGTGTAACAAACATACAACTGGATTGCATTAAAGCATCCACAAACATAAATGGCCTGTCTTATATGTTTGTGATGTTCCTACCTACTGTTCATACAATGAATGTGTGTGTTAGCAAAGGTGGATAAAGATGGAGAACGCTTAGCTGTTGCCTGTCATCTTTCTATGGAAACCAAAAAAGAAACATTCACATCTCTGAGTGAAGTAAACAATTCACTGTTAGCTTATATAAAAAACCTATAAAGATGCAGGATGCATATATTTGATTTTTCTAAAATGATCTTTCTCCTCATACACTGCCTACTTGTGACTTCTCATTATTCTGCTTAATACCATAAAACAAAGATCCTCTATGATAAGTACTTTGCCTGAAGCTGTTAAAAGCTGTAGTCTTTGGGGGCCCAGTTGTAAGCTGTTATGTTCAATAGTCAAATGTCAGAGAGCTGTCGATAGAAAAATAACCTTTCTCTAAAGCTAATACAGAATTCAGTGCGGCAGTTCACCATAAAATACAGAATCAGCAGGGTAAGTTAGTTAAGGCAGCAGAAGTCTAATAACAAGGAAGTGTTAGCGCTTTCTGATTTAGAGGCCTGCTTATTATTGATGTCATCTAATTGAGATTAATAATAAATGAAAATTTTAGTATTTTAATGTGGGTGATCAATAGTAATGTGGGAGCTTTCAGCACCTCCTATTTTAGTATATTTTTAAATATTATGCTTATCTGTGATTTTGTGACATGTTAAATGGCACAATCTTTTCCACTACACGAGAATTGTAGCATGAAAGAGTTGGAAAAAAATCTGGTTTAAAGAGCAAATGTAAGGGAAAGTTAAAATAAAAAGGTTAAAAATTACATTAAGAATAACATAAAGAAATATATATACTGATCATATAAAAACATAGGTATCAATAGACATATCTGTGTATTGCATGCAGTTTCTTGTGGCTAAAGAAAACGTTGCTATTCAACCTTATTTTCTAATACGGAATAAATAAGGAAAAGGTTACTACAATATAGATGATTTTGTTTTGCTTTACAATAATTGGTAACTTTCTTGCAAGTATTTTTCATACTTACTGTATTGATAGGGTATGAATGTGAAATCTGAAATATCAGGTGTTATCTATATTGTATGTTGATGAACATATACAGTACAGTACTGTATATTGGATATCACAAATTAATCTTTCACTCTATTACCATTTCAATACACTGTGTTACTTTGAATGGAAACATTGTGCACTGAACTGCTGCGTGCTCATTTCATATTGACTAGTGTTTATAAATCATGAAAATTGCTTTAATTGCAACCGCTGGTGATTCTTATCACAGTGATTGTAAATGTGACTTGTACTGTGAACACTTAGTTTAAAGTGTTATGGAATCATTCAATTAAGTTGAATCCTTCTTTCTTTTACCGACAGTCTGAAGAATACTTGGTTGAACTATACATTAAGTATATAATTGCTCTAAGACTGACCCATTCATCACTTTGACATTTCCCATTAAATCTAACTGTACTAAAGTCTTCTTTAAAACTCTTGAAGGTTTTTTTGGGGGTAATTATCATTCCTATATTCTTATCATTATAACGGTTTTGAATGATAGACAGATCAATAACTTATTGATTCTGTCCCAGCCCAGTTCTCATCTGAGCTATTTCACTGTTAACCACAAAAATAACAAAAGTGGTTTATGCACTGATTCAAAACTGCCTGAAAGGTCTACTTGAGACACACAAGTGCTAGAGGCCATCACTCACAAGTTGAGACAGTTGCTGACACAGGCGGGCTTCGAGCTTGGTCTTTTAGTGCAACCAAATTGACAGTGTACTCTTCCCCTGGCTTCAGGCCAGTCTGGTTGAATGAGGTTATGGTGCTTGGCAGTTGTGCAGTCATTCCACCTTCATTATCCTGAAAAAGGAAAACCTTTTTTATTCTTGTTAATATGTTAGCAACATTTACACCAATGCTTTTAACTGCATTCGATACTGAAATAAATTGGTGTGATCATAACATACAGGTGTGAAAAACACTCCATTTTCCCCTTGCCGTTCATTCTTTCATTTACATTGAGCTTTAGCTTGTTTTAAAAACACATCTAATATGTCTTTAACTAAATGTGCTCTTTCTCAACATTGTGCTTACTTCATATTTGTAACATACCTCTTAAACTTCATCAATCATTTTTTTATTGAGACCTATCAATTAATCATTATCATTAATCACCTATTAAAGCAGCAGTTAAAGTCTTACTAGACCTCCTTTATGGTTTTCTTATGATTCTTTTAAGTATTGTTTTAGTTCTCTAAAACCTCAACCTTTAGCTTTAGGGTCAGCAAGGCACATCTCTATATTCAATGTTTAAAATGTGGAATTGTTGCTATTTGGAAACCAATCCTGAAAGTAAATCTTGTGATGTCTACATTCTACTCAGTTAATGCAGTGTACGTAACATATCTTAGCTTTTATTGTTTATAAAGAGGCTGTGAGATTATTTAAAATGTTTTTAAATAAGAAACAAGAACAAACATATTCCTTATAACAGAGAATGTAAAAACTTCTCCCGCATCACACATTACACAGGTAGTATTAATGGACTGTGGAGACTTGGGAAAGGAAATTCAAGGAAAATGTGGGTTTTTACTGCAGTTAAACCCCTGCTGTGACCTTTAAAAGAGCTTATATAGCCATTCTCTTGTAACTCAGCTCAAAAAATGGTAGACATTCTGGTCTAACCTGGCAAGCTGTTGATATTGTATACGTTTGTTGATATTGATATTAAAATGTTGCGATTTTAAAAAGAACATTTTATGTCAAAAGTAGAACATACATTTTCTTAATTTTTTTAAACAAAATGATCATACTTGTAGAACTAATTGTGCAAATATTTAATCATCCGTAATTTTACAAATAATAACACCTACAATACTGTATATAGTGTATACACATAGAAAAAGTGCAGGTTTACATTACATTGCCAAAACTACCACATTCCCAAAAAAGAAACTAGCATCCATCTCTGTGCCAATGCAGTCAGTTCTAATTTATATACCTTCACCTTGACGTGTATTCAATTCTTCCTTTTTCAGTTTGTAACTAACAAATGTTCAATACTGCTTTTAAAAATGCTATATCTCCCACTGTATTTAGTGCTTTGAAGTTATTATGACACTCCAGCTAGAGTTGTTGCCTGTGGCTAGTGTACTGGATGGACCTGACACCATAATTTGATCAACTGCATTGAGAATATGACATACCTCGAAGGAAAATCTAAGACACGTAAGACATTTGTTCTGAACATAGCACTTGTATGGACAGTAGAAATTAAGATTAGAACATAATTCAAACACATCATATTATTTAACAGGACAAGATTTCTTATACTTTCTTAAAGGCAAAAAATCTAAAAAAAGAATGACTTCAGAGTTCTTGAGGTAATATTGTTCGCAAGTGATACCCTCACCAAAGAATGTGGTGTGACATACAGTACAATAACTATTTGCTGTCTCACTGCAACCAGTTGTGTATCTATGGTTCCTGGAAGCTGAAATGGTAAATTATAAAAAGGTTTTGTGGAGTAAGCAGAGTTTCCAGGACAAACACACCCAGTGGGAACAGTGACACCCGACTCAGCAGTGTTTCTGATGAGAAGCTGCAGCTAGAAGTAAAGTAAATGAGACCAGAGAGGGGTGCTGCATCCATGACAGTCAGGAAAGCAAAGATAGTGGAAATTGGAAGGTTTCATTTTGTAGCATGAGTGCCTTAACAGAGGGAGCTAGTGGGCTGTTGTATCAATGTTTCATCACATCCTTGGTGCACTTCGGTGTGAAATAGCTAGAAAAAAAGACTAGGGCAGTTATTGACACTTTATGACACTTAGTCAGAAACAAAATTGCTCAGCTTCTCTAAAGTTTAGAAGTTATTTTGGAATTCCAGAATCAATCCAAAACAAAGTGGTTCTTCTGTGGAGAAATAATAAGCATGTTTCACTGTAATTTCCAATATGAAGTGTTGAAGTATACCGTGCAGAAATTGTGTTTTTTGATTTTATTACAACTATGTGGTATTTTAAGATTTTATATATATTTTCAACACACGCACTATGCTATTCTTTAATGTTTATTACAAACTCTGTTAGAGTACCAGTACCATTTTAGTTTTTCCTCTCTGCTTAACCACTATTAAGCCTGTTTTTGCACTGCCTGCAAGAGTGAAATTGTGGGACAGTTCCAGGATTTGGACTTACTGTATATCCACTGGGAAAAGACTAAAAAAATGTAATTTCACAAGTGACAGGAGCTGGGTTTCAGCTTCTCTCTTCAGGGACAAAGGATTACTGTACCTACTGGGCCATTTTACTCCTAACAGCATTCCTTTCAAAACAATAGGCAAACATTTTTCTATGTTCGCACTGCTATTATTGTATAAAGAACAACTGATTTATTTAGAAGTACAATATTATATATAAAGTATATACTGTACATCATCTCTACTTTCATCTTAAAGAACAAAGGCACCTACAGTAGCACTTACCTTCTCCTTACCACAATATTCCTCTTTAGTATTCAAGTCAGTTGTTAGCTTTTTGAAATTGTATTCGTAGTATTTCCGCCATTCTAACACAAGGTTTTAAAATCTTTTTTTAGTGGTGGAGCGTACTATTGCTTTCAGGGATTGAATGCCAATGACCCTAATATTTCTAGACTAAAAAAATATTCTACTGATATTGAACAACTGACAATCTCATTTATCAGGCTAAAACTGAGCTGAAAAAAGCTACTATTTACAGTATAGCTTTGGAGAGTAAAGAACCTTAAAATAAGAATAACGAGTAGCCTGTTCCAATATATTTGTTTAAAAAAAAAGCCAAAACATTGATCAGTCTGGGCTTCTCATTATATTCTATATAATAAAAGAGATCAAAGGCTAGGGCATTATGGGAATTCATACATTAATTCAGTTTTTTCCAGTATGCAAATACAATTAGAGTTCATTGAAAAGATTATTTGCATATATAAAGTAGAAATTCACTTGGATTTAAAAATATATATATATATATGCATTAACAGTGCACCCCTGGAGACAGAGACACAATGAAATGTCCAGAGGTTTTCTTTACAAATCCACTAGCGCCTCACATTGCCTTTTGTTAAAAAATAGCTGTAGATAATAGTAATTTGCTCCTGCACTGCACATCATAATGATGTCATTGTGAAAGACTAGTTGTGCCACCTGATGCCATCAATTGTTCTGCTGCTTCAAAAGAGGAAATAAGCAATTGTCAAACACAAAGCAAGTAAGGCTTCTGCTGTGGAGTTTTATGTTTTCTCCATTCATTTGCAATGCATATGACTGGAGCTGACTGTGAGTTCTGTACTTCATACGAAAATAAGAGTGTTGTGAATTGACACTGATCAAAATGTAGACCTGTAATACAGTGACATAGATTCTCTCTCCACAGAAAATGTCACAACGTGCAGGAAAAAATCAAACTGGTTTGTTTTAGCAGAACTATGGTAATCAACAGAAACGTACAACTGTATGTAGAACCAAGACTCACATGTAACTTTTTACAACACTGGCGATCTGCAAGCACCCTTCCAAAAACAAAACGAACAACAATATAAATGGAAAAAATATTAATGGTGATCAATGCTGCATTACAAACGTCACCTGAGAGTCAAGATTAATTATGCACGGACATTCACAAAGGTCACACTTTGAAATTCCACTAAATTCGCTGTTCAAATGAATACCAATTAAAAAAAAAGAAAAAAGAAAACTATTTTTCTATAACAGCAGATGAGCAATTTCATGTTAAAACATAACAAAAACAAATGCTTACAGGAATATTGGTTGCATTACATGAGCTATGGAACATTAGCTGCATATTTCCATGGATTTTGTGGATTCTTATCTCTAATCAAATGAAAAAAGGTCAGATCATGCTACAGGTCCCCAAGTCACCAGATGAATCCCACCCTTAAGAGAGACTATAAATTGCTAATTGAAATGTTGGATGATGTAAAAGTGGACTCCAAGGTCACAAGAATGAAATAAACTGCTTGCTGCAAGTATATGTATATATATTCACTCATATAGTAATTCCCCTCCTGTAATAAAGTTGTGTCACAAATAAATTCTTGTTTTACTACCTCAGTAATTCTTACCTTCGGAATGAAGCTAATTTCCCAGCCATCAAAAGAGTAAGAAAATGGTTCCCACTGCACTTCCACTGATGTCTCAGTGATGGATTTGAAAAGTAAACCTTCTGGAGTGGAGAGATCTATAAGGCAACGAGAGATATATTATCGTTCTCCATTTTCTATATGCTCAATCAATCAGCTGTGAGGCCCATCTTATTCCCAGGGGATGGATGTAGGCAGTGGTTTGTAGAAGAATATGTAAACCATGTGCTGTTTTACCTCAGTGCTTGTGGTATTTGGGGATCAGTTTTTTAAAAAGTCACTGACTGTGCTGCGTATTCCAGGAGAATGAAAGAACTATTCATCTGTTTCCAATCCGGTTTGTCATTGTTAAACATGCCTGTAAAGCAACATTTCAACTGAAATCGTATCATTTTCTTACAGGAGCTTCTTTTGAGTTTCCAGTAATTACATCTACGGTATCGATAAAACGATGACCTTATTTAATCAGCATTTCTTAGATTTTGGATTCTGGATTTTCTAATCAGTGCCTATCTACTACAATAAAGATTTACCTTCTGCACTTCCGCGTAATCGTTAGTTTTAGCTCAACTCTTAATTTACAATCGACACAGCAGTAGTGCAACATGGCAATACATCAGGATGATGTGGGAGGAACCCTCATATGACAGCATTTAAGGTCTTAGCATTATTACCTCAAAACTCGTTTTATTATCACATTTTATAACCTGTTAAGGAAAGTTAATAACAGTAAAGAAAATACCTAATTCATTTTTAATTTTCTTTGTTATCTTTCAATTAGTAACAATCTAAGGAATCACATCGCTGATGACTGTAACAGAGGCCAAAAGCACGATGCAATTTTTGACAAAATGCCCAACTTGCCCATATGGAAGAGTTAAACATTTGAAGTTAAATGGAATTTTCCATTTCAGGATATCGCTTTGAATGTCGTTGACAGGTCTCGGATCAAAAAAACATGCCCACAAGCATGTCTGCATGCCAGATTGCCAAGATGGTGTTTCACACACCAGGTGACAGATGTTTCCCCATTTCACAGTTGGCAGACTTAGGGCATTTTCCTTTGAGGTATATTGTGCCGACAAAGTTCATCTGTGTCACATTTCTCGATCAAATATGTTAGTAGCATGTTTGTTTTCATAACACTCTACAAAGAGTTCTGCTCTTTTATTCGAAAATCAAAGCCTCTGACAAAAGGCTGATAAAAGCCTGTGATAAAAGCAAAAATATCTGGTAAAAGGTGTCACATACTGTAAAATAAAACCCACAGGCCAGTACAAAACAACAGGAATTGTAGACTGTGTACCTTTTTACTTTTTCCATTTTAAATTACTGAATGTGTCCATTGTTGTTTCCCGGGAACAATAAGCTGAGTTGAAGTATACCATCCATAAACGATGTCTGCACAGAAACGCTGAATTCTATTGTTTTAAATGTTATTCCAAGAACACAGCCCTCCCTAACCTACCCACCTCTGCAGTGCAAGTACATTAAAGAGAAGTTAACCTTTTGCTGGTGATAAAACTATGGCTTGATAATTAATTAAACTGCTTTATCAAAATATCATCCCTATATATATATTAAATATCATTAATGAAATGACGCATTTAGCTATAGAATGAACTTATCTATTATCTACAGATATTTATTATCTGTTTATATGATATAGAAGTGCAAGGAAGTGTTTCCTATGGTACACCTACCTACCATATGGCTAGAAAATAAAAAAAAATCTAAACAGAAAAAGTGTGCTTACACATGGAGACCTGGATATTAACCGGAACGCTGAGCATGTCGATGAGCACAGCATACACATTGATATTATATTCGATGCCAGGCTCCAGCTCCTTGATGGTGGTGCTGGTAGTGTTTCCAGGCACCCTTAACTCCATCTGGACTCCTCCTGGGCTGGTTGGCACATAAGTAATGAGGTAGTCAGTCACTACAACAAAGCCATCCCATTCCAGGTCAATGGTGTGTTCTGTGATTCCCACCACTCTGAGATTCATAGGAGGTGCAACTGCAATAAAAAAAAACAAACAATAATGCATTAAAAGAACCTGAAATAACACCCGGTAAATAAAACAAAATTTCTTGCACATTAAATCAATTTTACAAAACTTAATAAAAACGTATTTTTGCACTTTTCAGTAAAAATAACAATTACTATAATTCATATTTATATAGATGTAACATGATTATAATTATTCACTTTTCATAATGCATTCATTGTTCCTTTAGAATCTCATAAGTATTGCCATTGATTTTTGAAATGACTGAAACAATCATAGGGTCATAGAGTCTCATAGATCGTATACTGTACAGGCTCTTTCCATCCTTGTTTGGAATGCAGACAGGGCCCAGAAATTACTTGTTTATGAGCTATGTAACTGTGACTTGGAATCCCCAAACAACGACACACAGTTGGCTGACTAGTGTAGTGGCTTAGGTATGAGTCAGTTTCTCCTCAGTTTGCTATACAACAGCAAGCCCTGTCTTGTAGGGTCTCTGCAAGCATGCACTGCAATCACTGAGAGCTGCATCATTTCTCCAGTTGACGCTTAAATCTACTGTTTGTGTACGGGGCATGAAGAGTCACAGAAAGACAGCATGTTCCAGAGGAAACAAGCAACCATTATGCTTGAGAGCTGTTGCAGAAAGCTAAGTAAATGAGCAATCAACAATAATTCAGGGTATAAGAAGAGAATTATAAGTAACTCCAGATAAAATTACAAAATGAAAATCTGGAATTATGGTAAACTCTTGCCCATAAAAGAGTCCCCTCAAAAAAGCAAAAAGAAAGTCTACTGTCTTCAAATCATGGGAAAGCTTGTTGAATAGGAAAAGTTTCTTTGTGAGAAATATTCCAGCAACTTGATGACTTAATCAGATGTGGAGCACTAGAAAGCAAAATATAGTGTCTAACTATTGTAAAAATCAATGCCACTGCCCTTAAACAAATGAAAATAAAGAAGGCTACAGTGATTTACATATACTGCAATTTCAAAGCACTGATATAAGTGTTCTGCTTAAATGCCCTTGGACAAAGTTAGAGTATTTGCTGTCCATTAATCATAAATGAAGTAGAGAAGAACTGGGAGCACATTTACTTGGAGGTTTAGGGTCAACATCTAGGCAAGCAGCCAGCACCAGCAGACGCAAAGTAGGACCCTCTCTGAGCCAAGAAAGGTCGATTTTAACAACTCATCGAACTAGTCATTTAAAAGTCAAATGTCTTTCTTTAGCTAAAACAAAAAGCTTGAACTGTATAATGACTACATTTTGCAAAGCCAAAAAATCAAAGGTGTTTCAGGCTGATCCCTGAGCCATCAGAAAGCATCAGCAGAGATTAAGGTATTATGGTATAAGAGTGAGGAAAAAAAGAATATTAGAATGCCCCAAAATTTGAAATTTTATTTAAATAAATTGATGAGATTGGAGGTCAATTGGAGGTCATTAACATTTTGCTCTTGATAAAATACGGGAACTAGTATAGAATCAAATTCTGGATTGCAAAAACTTAATACAATTTAAATTATTTTATGGTGTATTTTCCGATTCCTAAGAAATTTAGAAACTTACAAGTGCTTGGTATGACAGCACTGCATATCTATTTTTCATTTGCTAACCTGCAAGACCACAAGAAAGAGCAGAAAGTTTGATTTGTAAGAATGCAAATTCTTTAGAGGACAAGCCCTGTTTCTGTGAAACACTATTGGGATTGCAATGTATGTCAACTGTATAATATATGAATGTTAAATTAAAAAAATATATATCACAAAAAAGGTTTATGTATCATGGTACACTCAGTGTTGTATCAAAATCTGAAATTTAGAAATGTACACAAATTTACAAATCAAGTATTGTACTTAGGGTTGGTGTAGTTTTACAGTCCATGTTTTTTTTTTTTTTTTTAGAAATTCATAAAATAATTAAACCACATTGGAAAATAGTGGTTAATGTATTTCGTATTTCTGGAAAAATGTTGCAAACAGTCGCCTATCACCTTCATGCTTACAATTTCAGTATCATCTTTTGCAGCATAAACATTTCTACTGTGTTTCTCTATCGGCTGACAATGTAGATCACAGGTATCCTCCGCCACAGACAGGCAGAGAAGATGAAGAGACATATCTTGGCAGGCATGTTTCATCAGTTCCTTTACATTAAAATGATTTTCAGCCAACTCAGTTGTCTGGTGTTGGATTAGTGCTTTAATCTACTCCAGAGCAGAGAGAATGACTTGTTCCATTGATCACTACATTGTGTGACATGCAGGGTAGAATGAATTGTTCGTAATTGTTCAGGGGTACATAACTTTGTGTTAAAAAAGAAATTACTCAAAATGATGTGCCACATTAATTAGTCTTTTGTTTGGTAATGTCATTGTACCATTCATCATTCTTGGACTGGTTATTGCACCATGAAAATGATTAACGCACCCCACCATTTTGGTGCGTAAAACAAAGGAGACCATTAAACTTTTTGTTTGTTTTTCTCTGAGATTTTTTAAATACAATGAATTGATGTGGCTGCCAATCAGATTTATGTCACTCTGAAAAGTCTAAGCAGTTTACTAAATCTCTGATATTTTGTCTGTCACTTAAGACCAAAACACTGTAATAATGAGTTTGTTGGTTTTTGATGCCCATTAATCATCAGTCTTTCTGCCCTTGAATGTTTAAGTAATGATCTTTGAGATATCTGTACTCTTTTTGTCATAGCACTGTCTATGTGTACAAAATTAAACCACAATTTGCATCAACCTTTAATCTTTGTGTTGTATCATTCTGTTAAAACACTTAAATATTCAATTCCAATCAACAGAAAACAAATTAAACCATTTGAGAGTCTGTAATTGCATGAATGGTACTGTATATTTAATCACACAAGCACAATTACTTTGTTAACACCTGAATTCATTTTCACTTGTATCATTATCCATATTATTTCATATTATAGATGAAATAATATGAAATAATTTTCAAGAGAGTTAAACTGACTACAATTAATATCTTTTGGCCCCACTGGCCAAAAATCAGTTTTTGACAGACATCCCAAAGAAGAAACACACACACAAAACATTCTACATACAGTTGAATTCTTTGTTTTATAATGTTCATGCACAGTATGAAACACATGAAGCAAGTTTTCTATTGCTGTGGCTAACTCATTTGCAAGTTCGGTTGTATTAAGCAGACAGCATTGGGAGCATTTATTATATCATTATACTGTATTTATAAATCTCATTTGCTCTGCACTCACGTGTCTATTCATTACAATTATGTAAGTTCAATCATTTCTGTTTCATTTCCTTCAGTGCTATCTTGCATACTGGTCTGCTATGCTGTACCAAGAACATTTAAGTATTTTTTAACCATGAGTGTGTTCAGTAGCACACTTTTTAATCTCTGCCCAAAGACAGATCCATACAGTAAGTAGAATTTTCTTTTGTATCTTTAAGGTGAATTAGCTCCTCATTTGAAGTCGATCTAGTGCCTTTGCTGTGCTGAAGAGGCATCTGTTAACTTTCCTGTAAATGCTGTGGAAATTGTAGAGTGGATCTGAAAAATGTGTATTTGAAGGAAAGCATACATATTCCTCATTACCTCACAATGTGTGAGGATGTGTTTAAAAATAAAAACTATTAAGTATTCCAGATCAATAAATAAATTGTGTGCTTTTAAACACCTCTTCCAACGGCTTTTGTTTTCCATGTAAATAGTCCCTAAAATTAGAGGTCAGAAGAGGAAAAACAGCACTTGTCTGTTACAACGCTTTTACAGCTCTTGACATTCAGTCATTTTGAATATAAATAACACTTCTATGGTATTACTGGAGACAAGGGAATAATTTTTTTAAAGCTCTCCCTCTTGCATGAGGTATTATTACAGAAAATGGACTATTAGGGACTGGGGCGCTCTTTTTACAAGATGTTATTTTGCTCTTTGAATTCATTATGCATGTATGTATTCAGGATTTTATTTTTTTAAATGGAATAATTTTAAACACTGTTAAAATAATTACATATACTGTATGTGAAAAGACTACTAGCTTAATCGTGCCTGCTGTCTATGCTTCTCCTTCTGTGCAGTGATCTTGTCAGAAAGGCAGTATACAATGCTGACAGAATGCAGTGACAGGGGAGGAGAGGAAGAGTTGGTGTTTGCACTGAATGATAGCAAACTTAACTTTTTTTAGCAACAAGCTTATGTCAATTTTCAAAAAATGTCAGAATCCCCACTCTCAAAAACACAAATAAAACAATCTGGAGCCCTTTTGTTAAGGAAATTGCCAGTTACTTTAATAAATGTACTTCTAAAGCTCTTGATATTAAAAGTATGGTACTATGTGTAATCAATTTTGATATAATTGCTGTTACATTGACAAAGTTAACATAGTAACATCTTTGCAGTCTGCTATTAAAAATGATGGAAATTGCAACCTAAGTGTCTATCACAAGAAAAAGGTTTAGAAAATGAATAACTGTCTTTTGTCTAAGAAACAAACAGATAATTAGACATTTAAAGGAGCACTGCTGTCTCTGTATGGCTGTTTACATGAAGGTGGCAATAAATTATTGAAATAGGTGAACATTGACAGTAGTTTCTTGGGAAAAAATTAAAATAGGTAAATTCCTTTAATTGAGACCAAAGCTATAAGTACCTATTTTGGAATAAAAGCACATATTAAAAAGGAACCATTTTTGTTCATTATTGTCATATTTATTTTATACAGTATATTCTGACATAAATTCACATTTCTATGTTCTTTTAAAATACAGCGATTTACTAATAGTGCGAAGTAATATCTGAAGATTGAACAATGCAATTATGACATAAATGGTATTGCTTTTTCCTACTGCTAAATTTTCTAACACAGGTGGCACAATCCTTTGCATATGTGATGTTGTTTCCATAGTTTCATTTTTCTAGTGGAATCTCAGAAGAGGGATTTTTCAGTGCAAGCTAAACCCCATAAATAGTGTTTGTTATTGAGCTGTATAAAGCATTACACTGCCAAGAACCTCAAAGTGCCTGTGTACTGCCTAGTAAATGAACAGTGATTTTTTTCTGATTATCTCCCTCTGTTCACACTTCCCCTACTGTCTTCCCACTGACTCTAATGAAATAACCACAACCTGTTTCACAAGCAACAGAGTGAAAGCCCTGATTATACCAAGAGTTAGCTTTTTATGCCAAGAAACTTAACACTTTCAGAAGACAGTTGTCCACAGTTGCATAACAGAAGAGAGCCTTGTGCTTCTGGATCTTTTCTGAGAGCTGTCTGAACCTGACTAAGGACAGATTCAGCTACTATCTGCAATATCTGCTTATAAGAGCCTCTATGAGATAATGCTACTTTTAGATACAAGTGCAATTTTTGTCAAATAAATGTAACTCCACCCAAACGTTGCAAAAATAAAGCTTTTGTTTTTTAGAATCATCCCATTCTAGAATGTGATTCTAATAAATAACCAATTAGCAACTGGTGTTTTTCTTCTCTGACGGACAGTTTGTTGCAAAAGAAGCACAAACTGAGTAGACATAAGAACAGCTACAAATGAGCTTCAACACCATGACTGTAAAGCTTGTTCCATACTTTCAAAACCTTTTGTTTACAGAAGTATCTCCTGTTGTTGGTTTGTAGATCTTCTTCTACTGTATATAGGAAGTACATTTAGATGTAAAAAAACAGCACGTTGTACTTGTATGTATGATTTGCAAAAAAATTGTATGCCTCTAAAAAAATGCAAAACCTTTAATGGAAGTCAAAGAACATTTTCTCCTAATAAAGTGAAACAGCATTCATACCCTAGAATTAGCTACTTGACTTCGTTTTAAAAATGTTAAGTCCAAATTGCTATTTTGTGCAGCCAATTTGTTAGCACCAGCACTTTCTTAGTACCAAAACGTGCTAGCTGGGTCAAATGACCTTTTCTCTTTTTGGACATTCCTTATGGTCTTATGATTCAACTTTATTTCAGCAGTGCCTGTAGCTCGTGGGAGAATAAGGGTTTGTGGAGATGTTCCTCCAAACATCCACAGCTGTCAGCACCACTTATCATTTGACATACTGTCAGCTCCACAGTGTCTAACAGGAGAATGAACACCAAATAGAGGTGCAGTGCATCTTTTATTAAGATTACTGCTGCCTGCAGGGGCCTGACAGGTCCCTGGATTCACTTGTGCAGTAAAAGCTTGGAAGCCCTTGGCAGACTAAAGCTTAACCCCACTCCAGATCTGCTCAGCCAACTGTGCTGTATTACCTGGGGAATCCCAAGCACAATTAGTGAAAGACATGGCCCATACTCGACCAACAGCTGTATTGCTCAAGAAATGGGCAGGGGAGTGCAAAATTCTCAGACTGAATCTCTACCACATTCCTTCTTGGAAAGACATCAGTCCCATTTTTAAAGCTTTGCTTCATTCTTCAACTTAATAACACTAGTTATCATCAACAACATCTCGTATTGGATAGTGGCACAGTAGATTTCTCTCCCAGTAGGCAAAGTCATTTCAGGAAAGCTATTTTTAACCAACTGTCCGATTGGTTGGTAAGATGTTGGTAAAAACAGGAATTTAACCGCATTTGTTTCAAAGACTTATCAGTCCTACAGTAATTTAATTGACAACTGAAGAAGGTCAGAGTGCTGTTTCTCTTTTCTTTTCAGCATGGAATAAACCTTTACTTGCTCCCTTGCAGCCTACTCAGGCTGATGCAGCTACCCACTTGACCTAATTTAATTTACTTTAGATGAAAGCACAGAAATATACAGTGCTTCGAGTGCTTCAAGTTCTACCACTCAGTTCTGCCTTACCTGATGAACAGTCTTCACCCACATAGCCTTCGTCACAAACACACATGCCTTCCTTGCAGTGTCCTTTCTGGCTGCAGTCGTTAAGGCAGGTGACCTGGGAGCAGTCTTCCCCAACATAGCCATGCTTACACTGGCAGGTCCCATTCAGGCACGTTCCTTGATCTGAGCAATCGTTGAGGCAGCGGGTCTCAGAGCAATCCTCCCCAGAAAAGGCCTCCTCGCAAACACACTCGCCGTCGATGCACAGCCCCCTGCCGCTGCAGTCTTCCGGGCAGCGGGTCTCCGAACAGTCGTCTCCGGTGAAGTCTCGGTCACAGACGCACTCCCCTTCCACGCACGTGCCCTGGCCTGAGCAGTCGCCCGGGCACCGCGGCTCGGAGCAGTTCTTGCCGGTCCAGCCCTCGTCGCAGACACACCCACAGACATCCATGCTGAAGTTTCCATGCCCACCGCAGTGGGGGACGTAGTCCAGCCGGCCTGGAGAAAAAAATAAACCATTAAGGACCGATGCTGTGGCCTTCATCCTTCTCCACCAGCTCAACCAACCTTTTCATTTTACCACTTATTAGGCACTAGGTGCTCGTTTTGTAATGTCTACATTGTGTGGCGTTGTCTGATGTACTGTGCAGATCGTGAGAGATCAGAAGGAATAAGAATTCGAATGGACAGATGGGAATAAACTCCTCTACTCCACTACTCATCTAACTTAATTTTAGCCCGATTCTACTTTTCTAGTCTCACCCACTGCAACTTTGGATAAAGCTTGGATATGTTTAGATCTCACGTGACTTGAAATTAATTGAACATGTGAAGTGGGGGTGGGGAGCATAGATAAAGGCTTTGGTACAATGTGCTTTACGTTGCCTTGGCAAAATAGCATGATAATGCAGACTGTTACCATAGCAGGCCTTCTTAACTTACCTACTGCTGCACTTTCCCCACAGCAGCTGGAGGTGCACTGCGCTCTCAGCAGAGACACTTCCCTCTCCAGCATCTCAATGCGGTTAGCCAGCTGCTGGATGGTGGAAGCACCAGGGCAGGCACAGGCTTGCTTGGGAATGTTAATGCGGTGGGTGAAGGTGACCTGGTTCTCTCGGTCTGCTGTCTGCTCAGTGTACTGAGTGGCCCCCCCTTGCTCTTCGACTTTCACTCCACGGCCAGGTGCCGACTCTAGGTCAACAGAGCACAGGGACTCCAGAGGTACATTAATGTTGTACACGTGATTGAAGACCACTGGCTCCTCCTTCATGGGAATACTTTGGTTGGCAAGATGGCCCTCGATCTCTGCTGTGTCTCTCCTGACTCTGGTCGTTTTCACAACCAGCCCTCCATCAATAGAGATTGTAAGGACACCCAGAAGAACTGCTGTGAAACTTAATAGCCTTTTCCTGGTCATTTTGCTCCCACGTTGAATAGTCTTGTTAAAATTGGAGGGCAAGCATACGAATGCACATTCAAGATGTTGTGGACTTCAGATCTCTTTTTAATCTAAAAAAAGAAAGGAGAACAACATGCAAAGACATTAAACTCCTTATGTCTATTTAGATATTTGAATATTCAGTATATATTATGATTTGGCAGAATAGAATTGTCTCTGCTCTATAGACTTACATAAGATGCATTACAGAACAAAATGTTATGAGTTTTCTTCTTCAATGAAAAAAAAAATTAAACATAAATATTGCATCTGTGAATACTGTTTTTATTGCAAATCTAAAAATACAGTATATGTGTTTTTGCTGAACACACAGTTTTTGGGTGACTGCGTTATTGCAGATATTACATATTAGAAAACGCAACAGTCAGGAGCTAATTCTAAGAATAAATGTCTCTGTTCTCTAATGCCCTAAAATTGAGTCACAGCCAAAGAAGAAAATGTGATGAAAATGCAGTGCCACTTTTGATCTCTGTCAGGACAGGAGAGGGCAGATTGACTCTGATGAATCCATTTTATTTCAAGTTTCAAAGAAAACCTGCAGAATAAAAAAAGACTTAGAAGTATTGAATCCAGAGGCTTTAGTTGAGGCTTATAAGAAAAGCCTCAGAATCTGTAAGAAAGGGTAGATGCTGAATTTCATTTCTTAGCTTTTTTCCAGCAGCATCTTACCATCATGCACACTTGTTCTGTGTCCCCTTTAATCTTAGGCCAGAGATATTTATTTTTTATCGCTAAGTGTAAGCGCTTCTTTTTTTCATCACCTTATACGCAGTAGTTTGTGAGCCTTCAGTCTATGACAAAACATGGGGCAAAGATACAGAGAAAGTGTTCCATGGGCTGAGGCTGTTACCTCTACTCTTTGTAACTTTTCTCACTGAATTTTGTAGTCTTACAGTACAGTAAGTGAAAAAGGAAGGGAAAAAAGGAGAAGATGAGTAGGGGAAAACCTGGGTTAAGCATTGATATTTTCAACAAAGGCTATAACTTAGTGTTACATGTTATAAAACAGCATGGCAAACACTGTTTCTGATTTTGAATCTGCATCTTTTGTTGAGACCCGTCTTTTCCTGCTGGTGCAATTCTTTTGATGCTAGGAAGGGAGACTAGCCGGGCAAAAGAAAGGGAAGGGATTGGGAAAAGGGTGAAGACCCGTCTATTTTTGTGACAGACTTTGTGAAATTTTTAGTTTATGCCTAGAACTCTTCTGTAAACAAAGCTCTAGGTCACTTGCACTTAAAATGAAAACTGTTGTCACATCAAAGATAAAATAGCCTACTGTAACTAGCTCCAGCACCCCACTCCTGGCACAATGCACAAGGCAGAATACGAGCCAGACAGGGCACACACAGACAAACACACAAACACAATTTTCAGAAAGCAAGAACTTAAAATTAAATTTCTTCTTTGTGTGCAGGATCTCTTGTTTTTCAGTACTAGGCAGATGTCCTGCTAGGCCAGCTCACATCATTAAGAGGCTGAGGTGCCGTCTTTTCTCTCCTGTCTGTCATGTGTATCTTAATGGGAGGACTGTAACCAATTGAGATTCACTTTCTTGGCACACTAGATGTTTTCAGCAGTTAAAAACACAGTACCATCTTACTGGGACAGGATCCAAAGCCCATTTAGTTAGGCATTCTGTTCTGCAAGGACAAGTGTTAGAATTTTTAGAGCCGGAGAGCTGGCTTCCCTGGCTCCCAATTTACTGCTGTATTATTTTGTTCCAGTGCAGTGGGCCTTGGTGTCTTTAGCTAGAATTACCCTCCACACATAAATACCCTTTCCAATGCTATGCTCATAATTAAAGGTGACAGTCTAGAGATTCACAATAAGGTACTGTGGTTTTTGAAGACCAGTCTCTCATGGGTGGATTATAACTTGCATAAGTCAGGGGTATTTAGTGAGCATACTAAAACAGAAATAAATGTTGAAAGCTTTTTTTTGCAGCCTAGGAACAAAACTGTGGCACAGGCCTGCATTTTAATTATATTGCCCATACCGTTGTCTCCAATAGATCTGTAAAAACCACAAAATGTTCATATTACAAGCCAAACGACCTAGGTTTCATGACTATGTTTTAATGGATGGCAATATTAATGTTATAGTGTTGCAGTTTAGTTGAATAATAAGATGATATAATTAAAGGTATGTAGCTATTAAACCAATTATTTTCTTAGAAAGTGATTCTCTGAGATGCTTAAAATAACAAATCAGCACAGCGCATTAAGGAGTAATAGCTGCATGCTCTGTATATACCTACTGTATTTCTAGTGGCAGAATTCATGGTCAGCTTTTACTGCTTTCTCATGAACTAGGAAAGTGAAGTGATATGAAAGAGCAGCAGGAATCCCTTATAGGGTTATTTATTTTCACTGTTTTTCTCTGCTTTGATGAAGACTGCACTGCCACTATCATACCTAATAAGTATTGTCAGAGTCTTCAGAGGCTTGCAACAAATTGTGTGTAGAGATCGATAAGAACCCATTTCTGTGAATTACAAAAGCTGAGTGGCTATTAACAGCAGGTTAGAAAGAGATGGGACATCTTTATCTGCTTGGAAGATGAGAACCGAAAACCACCCAACACACACATTGCTCTTATGCACCTACCCTGAAAGCGTTTGTCCAAAAAAACAAAACATAGAATAATAGCTGATGTAAAAATGACATTAACAACAAAATGTAGCACATCAAGAAACCCACTGAACACGAGTGCACTCAATGCTTTGTGTTGCTTAAATTTATTTCTCAAGGAGAATTCAAGACTTGTCTTCAAACAAGATTGATTTAAGCTTACATTTAAGAGCAAGGAAGCAATCATGAGGGTTACTAAGATACAGTATCTTGATCTCTATAGAAATAGCACACGTTTATTTTCAAACATATATGAATATGAAAGCAAGAACACTTTTGTCGATGGTCAAGCCATCCAGCTCCCACTAGTGATGTCTAAGCTGTATGGATAATACAAAGAGGGCTTTCAGAAAGAAAAATAAGTGCTTCCCAATTTTTCAATAGTGTTGCTTGACACCAAAGTGCTAACACTGAAAGTACTGATATCAAGAAACGCTATATAGCAATGATTTAATAAACATGTGTCTAGAGACGGATGTAAAGTCATTTACTATGTCTCAAAACTGAATAATGCAAGTTATCTACTCTGGTGTTTATGAAAACCTGAAACATGTCATTCCAGAAATCTCTACTTCTTTAACACATTTACTGAACCTTACATGTATCCAGGGGATCTGGTTTCACCTTGATGTGAAAACAATATTAACATCAAGACAGGCAATTCAATTTATCATCAGCTTTGACAGCTATTGCTATTTTCTCCTTTGTCTACAGTATACATGCTTATACAGATTGGATTGAAAAGTCAGTGTGGAAGCTTGCATGTCAAAACCTTTCACCAAGTCACTATGAGTTTATTAGAATTAGTTGTTTTTTTTAATCTGTGTGCTATCTTGTTTCATTAGGGGCAGATGCCTTACGCTAAAGTCATTTCACAAGTTATTTGTAAAATATCTGTAGCATCTTATTGGTGTTTCTCAGATACATCCCTGAGTTAACTAATGTTATTTCATTGTAATGCAATGTCTTGCCTAACTTTTGAGGCAAAATAAAAAAAAAAAAAAACTATTCTCTTTTGGAAGCCAAAGGCATCAAAGAAAAAAGAACAAAATAGATTCAAAGAGAATGCATTTTCCCATTGTCTTGTTAATCAAAGTGTTTTGCTTTTGTTTTGCTTGCTTTATTCAGATTAATTTAACAGCCTGACTACAATCTTAGCAGGGGCTTTACCCAATCTCCCTTATATGTATGCCAAGTGTTTTAATAACAGGCACAGAGGATAGTAACCTTTATAGCAGGTGGTTAAGCTGGCCTTTTGTCCAGCATTATCACAGATCATTTACACATTTACTTCCAAATTGGCATAAAGAAGAGCTCCATGTTAATTAGGAGACGGCGGCAAAACAGTGCTACACATTATGACTCCTCTAAGCTTTGGTTAGGGTTATCTCAGACATTGAGGTAATCTATATCCGACAGAAATGTAATAGGGGGGCACTCAAAAAATGTCTTTTAGTGAGCTCTAGACACTTCAAATTGTAAATGTAGACCACTTCCATGCAGTACCTGCCTGTTCATGTCATTTTTCATTAGCTTCTTCAAGATCATGTTCATGTAGCTTCTTCCCAGGACATGAATGTCATCTGGAGAGAGATTCCTGTCGCATTGCAGATTCTACATATTCTTATTCGCTGACATTTTTGAGGAATATATTCATATATTCAAGGGAATAATAAAGAAATACTAATAAAAGGGACCCACAGGAAGGAGGAAATGTTGAATAAGTGCTTCCCTGAGTTCACTCTGATGCAGTTCCATTGTAATGCAAAATCTTGCTAGAGTCTTGTAGTAAAAGAAAAAAAAATCTTTTGGAAGCTTAAGGGATCAAAGAAATAAAGAAATTGCATTGTAGCTCTGCTGGCATTCATCTTTCTTGCATAAAAGTTGTCAGATAATACACTAAATATTGAACTGCACTGCACAGGTATGCTGATTTGATTTTTGATATCTGAATTATGAACTTCCTCTGTAGTGCAAATGACAGACAATAGATTTTGGGGAAATGTGTATGTTTCCATTGAGAATTAATTAGAAAAAAGTAAAGGTAAGGGAATGCTCAAATTGGGATAATGAAGAGGAGTACAACAGGGATCTGTACTAAGACTGCCGGTCTAATGATCTAGATTTTGGTATAGTTAGAAACTGAGTCACGTCTGCAGAAGATTCATACAGAGATTGATTAACAAACACTGTAGAAGCAGCAAATAAAATGCAAGATGGGGAAAACAGATTTCTCTGATTACTGTGTTGTAAATAAGTGCAGAATGTCAAATGCAGGCAGTAAAAGTCTTAAACTATGAGTACAAAATGTGGAATGCACTGTTTTCTAAACAATGTAGGGAAGTAAAAAATGGGCAAATAACATCCCAGCATATACAGTATAGTTAAATGAAAATCACATGATTTTAATCAATTCTATT